CCAGCCGGTTTCCACTGCCTGAGAAGGGAACGTACTTCTTCTTTGGCTTCTTGTAGTCCTCGTCCTTGTGCGCGTGTACCTCGACATCCACCTCTTGTCCGTGCTCTACATTCAGGATATGCAGCGGGGCGTGACCGGTGTTGATCATCTCCAGAGTGCGTGCGTTTGCCGGGTCATCGTAGCGAAACAGGTCGCCGTCGTCGACAGAGAAGCCATCGCGCCAAAGGTGGAGTTCGCGGTGGGCACGCGGGGGCGGTGCAGGCATGTTCGCGTTGGGGTCTGGGATGATACGCGAGGGAGCATCGTCGCCACCCAGCGTTGTGCCTGCACCACGGAAGTGCGAGCTGGCTGGCTGCTCGTCGTCACCACCTGGCCGAGGAGCATTTCTGTGTCTGTTAGCTACCGTGCTCTGTACGAGTAACTGAACTCCAACTTACTGTCGCGCCCTCTTCAGGATGTTGTTGATCTGATCGCGTGGGTTCGACTGGTTAGGGTTTTGCACAGCGAGGCCAGACTTCTCACCACCGGCAAAGAAGTCCTGGCTGTCGTCCTCAGGGCTATGGTCGTCATCGTCATCATCGTGAGCATGTCCGGGGCCGCCACCAGATGACTGCAAGTCCCTCAAGGTCCTCGCGCCCGCCACACCCCGCTGTCCCGGCTGTCCGCGGCCAGCAGGTCGCTGCGATGAAGAAGAAGATGAAGCTGCCGGTGTAGAAGAGGGAACATAATCACCCCCGAGCGTACGTCCGCCACCCGAGGTAGGAGGCGGGTTCTGGCTGGGGTTGTTCGTGGAATCGTCGTCACCGGCCATGTCGACGTCGGGCTCGGAATCGGCTTCTTGTTGTTCGGCGGTTTGGTCGAAGAATAGCGAGGCTGCAAGAGTGAGGTCTCCGTTGGCAGCGTTTAGGTAGCGTTCTGCCTGTTGCGCGTGTTGGTGAGCAGGTCCAATAGCTTCGATGAGCTTCCACATACCGTAGCAGCGTCCAGACCAGTCAAGCTAGCGAGCTGCGCAACCTGGGCGTCTCGGTCGGTAGCAGCTTCAGACATTACAGTTTGCCAAGTGCTGACTTGGGAAGATACGCCGTGTTGTTGATGCAAGCTCGGGAGTGTTGCCAATGTACCGTACTGTAGCTACCGGGTGGGGTCTATGTATCCCACGGCGTTCGTTCTGAGGCCGCAATTGGTGACGTCGCTCGGACTTTTGCGCGTTGAATGAGAAGCTGCAGCAAACAAACTAGTCAAAGTAATATAATAGAATTAAATCTGTCCTCGGAATTGAGCGTCTACAGTAATCACAATCCAACTAAGCAGTTTATTCCAACAAAGCTTTCAAGTCTCAGTAACCGCTCCAACATGGGATCCAATGCCAAGACCGACGTTGAATTGAGCCTCACCAACACCACCCCAACTCCATCGCACCTCGGCCTGCCCTAACACAGCACCAATCCACCCTGCACAAGCATCCCAAACCACCTCCCTCACTCAATTCCATACACAAAATCCCCCTACAAAACCTCCAGCCATCCAGTCCTCCCATAGGACCAACCCACCACCAATCTCCGCACCCACCTCCGCGTGGGGCTCAAACCTCCAACTACTCCCATCACCTACCACCCATCCACCTCTCCTCCTCACCACCACCACCACAACAACGTCGCAAACAACAATGACCTCCCCATCCCCCGCTCCAAACACCCTCACCGAATCCGGCATAACCATCCCTTCAGACAGCGAAACCTACGACGCAAACCCCGATCTCTCGCCCTCGCCCGCCTCGGCCTCATCCAGCTCCTCCCCCTTGATCTTGTACAAGCCGCCCACGCTCTGGGGCCTGCTGCGCGGCGCGGCGATTAACTTGCTACTGCCGTTTGTAAATGGATTGATGCTGGGGTTTGGCGAGTTGGTGGCGAATGAGGCGGCGTATCGGTTGGGGTGGTCGGGTACCAAGGTACGTAGTTATCTCACCTCCCTTCTTCTTTCCTTTTTTTTGTGACTTGAAGGGGGTTTAGAGGGGGAAAGACAATGGCTAATGTGTGAGTTACAGATATTTCCAAGTCACCGATTGGGTTCTGCGACTGGTCGGCGCGTAGGTCCGGGTGTAGAGATGCGCGCGGATCCTGTCGAGCGAAGGCGGCGAAATGGGCAGGAACTCGACATGTACACTTCGCTGGAGTAAGACGTAGGCCAGATGGATGATTTTAAGGGTGAAGGCAGTGTGCATACAGATATACATACCCACGAGTCGATTGCAATGTCGGCGTTACGTTTAGAAGAAGAGAGAAAAATGTGTCATTCAGGAGCATACATGCATTCCAATATCTGTACAAAGACACCACTATACTACAATGTGGCATTTCCTAACCTTCTCCCTTAATGAACTTTTCTACCTTGTGTCTGTTACGTTGAGAACACAGGTCTCAAGTTCAGCCGTATCATACAGTCACTCTCTGCCCCACACAACCTCACACTTCCTTACGACCTGTTTTCAAATCTTCGTCGACGCTCAATCTCATACTCCTCGGCCTTCCTCTTTCTCTTGGCCTCCTCAGCAGTCATCTTCTTACCCCCATAACCCATCTTCCTCGTCCATGCTTCGGCGCTGTCGTTGAACCTACGCCACATGTAGCTGAGTCGGTAGTTCCTCCTGTAGTAATCCAGCTTCTCCATCATCGGCTTGCCCGCTGCACCCTCCTCGAAATCAACATCGCGGTCGGGACGGGTACGGTCCACCTTGGGCGCCTCAGCCTGGAGATGCGCAGGGATAGCCACGCCGGGCTTGATGTTGATGCCAGAGATTTGACGGCGGTTGGCGGGGGCCTTGCGGATGGGAGTGGGCGGCTGGTAGCGGATCCTGCCGTCAGGTCCCTTGATGTCGTTCAACTTCAGCTCGCCTTGTGCAACCTTGGTGTAGAGCTCGTTGCTCTTTTTGCTCGGTAGGGTGCGGATACCAATCATGCGCCGGAAGCCGTTTTGGCGCAGCATCCAACCAGTGAGACCACCCATGATACCAGACACAAGGAAGTAAAGTTGCAGAGCTGCGGCTTGGAAAGCAGTCACCAGACCAAGCACCACTGCAAGACCAGTAAATAACTTTTGGCGTTGTGCAGCCTGGCCAACGTCGTTTTGTACACCGACCTCGCCTCCATTCTGTGAAAACAGGTTAGTTCTCCGTTCGTCGTACCTCTGGAGATAGACATACCTTGAAGACAGTGTACATGACGGCCGTTGTCGCAGCCGGTAAAAGAAAGTATGGGTCACGCGAAGTCAAATCAGTAAACCACAAGAAACCATCTTGTTCCATGCCAGGCACAGGCAGCTCACCCATGGCTCTCAGAAATCTGAAAGCCGAGAATCCAATCCAGGCTTGCATGAACATGAAACCTCCCATGGAAGCCATACCTCCGACGTACGGTCTCATAATTTCGGCCTGTTGCATCCTGTACAGATCCGCCTGTTGCTTATCACCCCGCGCAATGGCAGCCTCCATCTTGTCCTGTAGAGGCTTTGTCACAGGTGTCAGAGCGGCCATGGCTGCCATCTTATCTGAGCTAAGAGCCTGGAAGAAGAAGGTTGCTCCACGCACTACTACACCGGCGATCAGAATGGATCCGGCCCAGCCAAAACCTGACTGCAGGTAAATAGTCTCGATGCACTTTTCAAAAAGTGTAGTCATTCCCCAGCCGTAGTCTAAACCTAGTTCCTTCAATTGTCCAGCATGGTCAATAAGGCGAGTGGGATCGATTTCGGCAGTGGGGAGTGTGTCTTTGATCGGATCGCTCTCAAGCACATTGTCAAGCGTCTTGGATTCGCCAATAATAGAAGCATTCTCTGCAACCGTATTGGCTGAGCTCGACACTCCATCCACGACAGCGGGTTTCTCAATTGTTGCAGGCGCAAGTTCGGGAGTGGCTGTGTTCACGGCAGGTTCTGCATGCTTTGCAAACTCGGTCGTATGACGGTGGGAGAATTCGGCAATTGGGACTTGATTCGAGGGCAGAGCGGAGCTGGCGTCGGCAGGCTTGACGGAACTACCCCAGCTCCAAGGCGCGTACCATGAAGCATATCGGACAGACGAAGCACTCAGCATGACATTATGAGTGCCGGCTGCACCCTTCCTCCACTGTGCAGATTGGAGCGGGCTTGTTCGACATGACTGTGAAGCGAGGCCAGCTGTACGGGGAAGCGATGAGAACTGCTACAGTCAGTATCTCTAAAGGAGAAGCTCGTCAAAAATGCATCTCAAGTGGTGACAAAAGAGTAGTCGTGGGTGCGAAGTCGTGTGGCTTCGCTAGGCAGGACGCGGGCGGGCAGATGGGACGAAGCGAGCAATTGGACCATTGGGTGTGCGCACCTTCCTTGTAGCTGTCGATCTAAGTATTGCTGATTGTCGCGAGGCCAAGGGCGCAATTTGGGCAGGCCGCAGCCCTCTACTTGGCAGCATTGCAGTGTGTCGTCCGAGGTCAGGAATGATGCTGATGGCACCAGGACCGCCATCAGAAATGTCGTGCACGGGCCCTTTGTCAGTAGTTTGGTTGCGCTACCATGCAAACCTCCGAGATCCCCGCATCATCACTTCGCCTGCACCCACCCATCAACTTGCACCGCATAGCGCTCGATTTTTAGCATAGTGATTATCAATTCTTCGTTATCGATGAAGAGTAAATGTAAACAACAACGACTAGTCTACTGCGCACCTTTTGTGGGTATGTTGGTCGCATGGCTCTGTCGTAACCCCCTCAACACCTCATCTGCATGCAACAAGCATCGCCAGCCGAACAGAACAGCAGCCCGAAAATCCACCTACAATATCCCATGTATATCCATGAACAAATAAAGAAAATTTCGCTTAAGCAGGGAATGCCATCGTGGAAGAATGCGAAAACAGTAACAAACCCTTAGTGTACAGCGGCTGAGATAAGAAATGCCGAAACGCCACCCTATTATGCGTGAAAGAAATTACGCCCTGCGCCAGGTGAAGCAACATCGTGGTCAACGGAATGCTAGTCCTCGTAGTTATTGCCTTCAGTGACGGCCAAGGCTTCCTCGGCCTGGCCACCGCCCATCTCCATCGCTTCACCAAACATCTCGTGCCCACTGACCGAGCTCTTGAATGGATCTTGCATCGGACTAGTCGGACCTGCTGGCCCTGAGCTCTCAAAAAGACCTGGATCGATTGGTGCGATAGAAGAGCCTCCACCAAAGCTGAGAGGGGCCGTCGTAGCAAACGTTGGAGAGTTGTTGTATGCCGACGTAGTAGCCGGGTTAAAGTACTCACTGTCGCCTTGGCTTTGGCGAGGTTCTCCGGGTGGCGTGTGCGACTGTTCGCCAGATCCTGGTGGTGGACTCGAGGGTTTGGTGACGTCCCCTTCCTTGCGTTTGAACTGATGCGCCTTGGTCCTCAAGTGCTGTGGAAGATCCTCTGGATTAGTTATCCCCAATTGGTTCATCAGCTTTTGCTGCTTTGTCGGCCGAGGCTTCCGCGTCGAGAGAGATACTTGTAGGATCGGTGGCGGTGTTGGTGCAACGGGTGCCCATCTATGCAGCTCTTGGCGGAAGAAGTTGATCTCATTCGCGAGGAGAATTTCGGCGCCCTCAAGTTTCCGCAGATAGAATCGCTGTGTAGTAAGCTCATCGGGGCTTGACATCATGGGATTTATATATCGCGCCACGTAATCGCGGAATTTGGTGCCATGCTCAATGAGCGACTCGAGTGTCTCCTCCTCCTCTGGCTGGAATGGCAGTCCTTGAAGCTCGTCCTGCCATAGTTGCAAGTCTTCGAGTTTCGGTCGGGTTGCATCACGCGGAATCTTTACGCGGTAGTCACAGATTGGGCATGTGTACTTGTCATCCTCCTTGACCTTTCCGCGTGCAATCTTCAGGCACTTGCCATGGTACCTGTTCTTGTTAGTGAACATTTTTCAAGAGCATTATTTGGTAAACTCACCATTCGTGACACAATTCGCATTCAATCATCATACCAGCTTCGGGTTTGCGGCAGATGCAAAAGACGTCGCGGCTCGACCCGGAACCATCCACCTCTTCTCCATCTGCTGGGCTCTGTTCGCGCGAAGCAGGTTCCACAGGCATCCGAGGCTGGTCAGAAAGGTCGAAACAAGCCCGATTGCGCTCGTCTACTTGTTTCATATGCGCATGTAGAATGTGAAGTGGCGCATTGGCTTTGCCAAAAAGTTTCTTGCCTCGTCGCATCCAGTCTTCATGGCGCTTTTGTTCTTTCTCGAGATCGCTGGTCCCAGCTGGCTTGCAGTTCAGTGCGTTGAGCCCCTCCATGGCATTGCGAACTTCCATATATCGAGGTCGCTGGGTGAAGTCTGGATTCTTGCTTCGCTCATACAAAGACATGATGAGCTCCTGTGCGTCCCGCTGCTTCTTGAGAATTGCATCCATAGCCGCTCGTGTCTCCGGTGTCACCGGCAAGTTGGTCGCTTGCTTGGAGAAAGCGTCGAGTTGTTGATAGTGCACATGCTCCACTTCCATAAGCTCTTTCGCTTTCTTCTCCCAGAACTCGCCTTGCGTGCGTTTGTCTTGTAGGAACTGAAGGTCGGGATGGTGTTCGGGCATGCCAACTTCGATTCCGCTTTTGATGAGATCACTAACTTCCTGGAGGGTAGGTGCCGGCTTGACTCTGAAATCCTGTGCATCTTGTAGCCATCTAAGTTGTTGTACAACCTTTTCAAGCGATTCAAGCTCAGGCAGGTCGACATTGAAGCCCTTGCCTTCTTCGAGAAGCTCGTCAAGTCGTGCGATGCTCTGCTCAGCAGGCCGGTCGCGCAAGGCAGTTCGTGCTTTGTTCTGGTATTCCACGATACTTTCTGCGCGTTCTCGGAGTGTGGTGATCTCTGGGCTGTCGAATCCCAAGTCCTTTGCCTGGTTAAGAAGTTTCTGAATGTTCTCAACGTTGCGGTACTCGCGTTCTTTCTCATCCGCCTCTGCAATGGCCGACTTGCTGGGTCTTCCCCTACCGGGACGTTCGGCTTTGCGGCGAGCCTGCAGCTTTCTAGTCGTGTACAGAACCGCTTCGTCAGCTACTTCTTGACACTTTTCGACAAAGTCTTTTAGATCTTGAAGACCGTTCAGCTCCCAGTCAATCTTCTCTCCTTCGTGCAAAAGTGTACGCAGAGACTTTAGCTGCGGTCGTGGCCCCTCAGCAAGAAGGCTCTCCATCTTGGACTCCCAGACTTCGGGTGTGCTTGCCTTGTCCACGATCTTCTCAACCAGCGTCGTCAGAGCATCCTCTTGCATGCGATATATAAGCATATGCTGGCCCTTGGCTCCGGAGTAACGATCGGCCTCTGGAAGATCCGAACAACACTCAAACCACCCAGCATGCTGTAGACACAAGACCTTCTTCGTGTTGCGGCAATAGAAACGAGACAAATAGCCGTAACACTTGCAGAAAGCACATATTAGTTCATCCTCGTGCACGTCAGCATCATCGATGATGAAGTCAAGTTCACAGGGCGCGTCCGCGTTACTCTTGCCGTCAACCTTGCAAGTGTGCGCTTTAGCAGCTTTATGTTTTTCGAGAAATTCTCTCCGCAAGCGCGTTTCCCGATCGCGCATCCGCTGCATAGCAGGACCAAGCCACTTGGCCGTCTTGATGGTCGTATCCTTGCGTGAGGCCGCGGCTAGTAGTAACTCATCATGAGAGAAACACGGTTGGCGTCGGTAGTCCTGGAGACGCTGCACCCCATGCTCCCCAAATGGCTCCCAATCGCTTGGCGCAAAATTCACCGCCTCGTTGAGATTGAAACCATGGTTAAATCCAGCATGGTAAGCTTCGGGGAAGGTTATCACAAACTCGCCAGCACGTTGGTCAATTGCATAAACCTTGACTCCCGCTTTCAATAGTTGCTCGGGAGTGAGAAGCGTCACGAGTTGAAACAAGAGATCGGGCTGGCTTTCAAACAGTTCTGGTACTGCTTCACGCATAGCTTGCTCAAACTTGTCGGTATCCTCGGCTGGCACGCCGTACCAGGTCTTGGTAGCTCCAAAGTGTTGGTAGTTTGCAGAGTACGTATAGTGATCCTCGGCATGCCAACAGAAAGTTGAGAAAACCATTCCCACATACAACCAAGGCACTGTCATCCCTGAAATATCGGACTTGATATGGCGGAACAGCGAATCTGGCGCATACGGCAAAACAGTCAAGTTCCACGGGTCCGTAGAGTAGGGGTCTCGTGGATTCTTTTCAATGGTTGGAAATCCGCTGCCGTGAGTCGTAGAGTGAATGTCTGCTCCATATTCTACTTCAACAGTCTCTGTCACGTTCGCAACTGAATGCCAGAACTCGCGTTCAACATCGTCTTCTGTGACCGGCTTTGGTGCGTTAGTGACTGGATCAAAGGGCATTTTGGTAGCAAAATGGCCCTGCTTGAACTGATGCGCTTTCTCCTGGAACTGCTTGAGCGAGTATATGCCCCCTTCTTCGAAACCAAATTCGCCTGTGCCTACCAGACAGCGTGGGCAGTGCCAGTCGTAGGCAGGAATGCCTTTGATTGGAGGATCTAAACAGTAGCCATGATAGCCAGAGTCGCAACTGTCACATAACAAGATGTTTGAGGGGTCATTATCGGTACCGCAATTTTCGCAACGATCACCGGGGCGCTCATCGGCGGCGCGCACACGAGGGAACGATCGGCCTGGCGTGGATTGGCGAGGCTGAGTCATGTGAGAGCCGGCCACAGTGGGGGCAGCATCTTTCTTCAGGCGTTTACTGCGCCTGCCATTTGCCTCATCTGCATCGTCATTTGCACTGCTATCTGCATCTTGGGATAGAGTGCGCTTCAGCTGGTTGAATTGATGTCCATTGGACAATGGCGTCGAGCCAATACCAGATGGCCGTAAATCAGGGGTGTTGTCAGCTGACAACATTGGGCTGCCAACGTTGCGCAACGGCGTAGAAGTGCGCGACTCCAGCACATCTCGATGCATACTGCTTGGTGCGTTTACTGCAGCAAAGGAACTTGGAGTGGAGGGCTGCGTAGTTGGCTTAGGTGGTGGATGCGCGTTAACCGCTGTAAAGCCGCCGGAATTTACTGGTGTAAAGCCCGACTGCATGGCGGGCTTTGGGAGCTCGGGCGGCGGGGTTGGAGCTGATTCATTGTGCAGAGTCGCGTTGAGAGCTGCTGAAGCCTTCATAGCGGGCGACTCGGTGGCATTGGCTGCAGGCGTGCCCTGTAGCGATTTCTTCACAGGCGAATGTGCTGGTGAGGGTGTAAACGGTCCGCCGTGCTCGTATTCCAGCATCTGCTGCACACCAGGTTTCACCAACCGTAGGTACTCTTCGTACGGGTGCAGCCATTTTTGGTACGAGTTTTTGAGGGATGTAGACAGCGAAGACATTATCTTGCCGCTGTAGCCGAGGTCGCGTCCTATTTCAGCCCATTTCTTCTGCTTGCAGACACGTTCAAAGCCACCCCTCTTCTCGACGGCCTTTTTGAGTTTGTAAAGGTCCAATGGCCGTTTGTCCACGCTTGGGAAGCGCGTGAGACTGTGGCCATGCTGCTTGTGAAATTTGGCGAGCTGATCCAGATAATTCAGATTGGCACGTGTACCTAGCCCTGATCAGACTCGGGTTAACAAGGCAAAGTTTGACTGGTACATACCCCCCTCGACAGAATTCAGCTCCTGGCGTCGCGTGCGAAAATGGAAGCGCTGTTCCGCATCAGTTTAGCTCAAAGTAATTCATTTTAATAGCAGTGAAGATGGGCACAGGCGCAGTCGGGTATGGCGCGTGCACTCACCTCTGTATCAATGGCAAAACCAGGGTTCCAGCTGTCCGGCGGAACAATCTTGACAATGCCGTACTTCTGCGCCTCTTCGCGGATGCTCTGGATGTACTTGACAGGGTCCTTGAACTGCTCAGTGGTCGGTCGATAGGTAGGAGCCTCGCGCAGGCCGAAGAGACGGTTCTGTTTGGGCGGCAGGTTGTTTGGCGCTCCATGCCCTCTGCGCTCTACCGTGGCGAGATCGAGTGGTGCTGCCTTGCGCGCGCTCAAAGGGATGGTGCCTGCCCCATTCGGTTGCGCGCCGTTCGTGGCAGGTGTCGCGCCGCCGCTCGTTTTTGATTTTGATGCTCCAGGGGCTCCGTCCGACGCTCCATTGTCAGTGGCGACTCGAAAGGTAGTCATTGTAGCGCCTGTGGGAGGCCCGGCTTGGGGTATAAAGTCGACCATGGCCCTTTCCCTACTCGTTGCACCTGGCGGGACAAGTGGTAGGGATTATCTGCGACCTCGCGACGATGAAGGGGGTAATTCTTGGTAAGGCGATGGCAGTCGGGATTGAGTCTGTCGGTGGTGGTGGGCGCTATCGAGGGGATATATCTGCAGTCATGGAGGCTCTGGAGCGGCAAGCGACCGCTTTTGACCCAAGTCGGGCCGTAGAGTTCACTGATATTATGTAGAATGACACGCCCGGAAGATGGCAGGGCTGGGTATTGGCGACGAACGTGGGTGTGGACAGGTACGTATGTGTGGCGCGGTCTCGTGGGAGCGGCGAGGTATGAGGAGGATGGATGGGGCCGCTGAAAGGTGCGAGAGGTTCCCTACTATGCCTCGCTAGCGGCGGATGCACTATCACACCCAAGGTACCGAACTCAAATCCATCGACGCTTATTCCGGCGGTGCGCAATCATCGGTCGCGTGTGCGAAATCCCAATGGTGCCTGCGCCATGCTACCCCGTGTTTTTGAGGCTGGCTCATCCATGGCACTGGTGTCCATTTGAAGGGTATCAAAAGGGCGCGGTCACGGTAGTCATGGTGGGTGGTATCAGACCTCCTACACGCCCCCCATCTGGCCACGGCATGACGGCTCCTACACCCTATGCTCGCGCACACACACCCCTGTCTGGACGCCTGTTCAATGGCTGGGCAGATTCATTGTATAACATGTCCCAGTCGGCACGTGCAAAGTGCTGGCTGCATCGCTGCCCATTTCAAGACTGCCGACCCAGACTACAAAGCCTCGTCAGTCCATACTGATTCAATTCATTAGCCGTGTCGGACACAAGACTGGCTGTCATCAAGGATCTCGTTTCTGCAACAGACAGTCGTGGGATCCATGGGTACTACAGGTAAGAAGGCCGAGCGCAAGGTTGTCGCATCGGGAACCACCCCGGCCCCACCAATCACAGCGCTGCCCATCTGCACCATCCCGTCAGCCCTAACTGGCCGTTGCCGCTTCTAGATGCCATCGACAACAACACTCTGCCTCAACCTCACGTCCTTTACCAGGCCGTCCAATGGCCAGTCCTATCAAAGCAGAGAGTCGACCTATCCCGGCTTTCTACTGCTGCTATCTGCTTCGCTCCAAGAACCGCAAGGCCTTTTACATTGGCAGCACGCCTAATCCGGCACGTCGCCTGGGCCAGCACAATGGATCTACCAAGGGCGGCGCAAAGCGAACCTCAATGCAAGGCAAGCGGCCATGGGAGATGACTTGCATCGTCACAGGGTTCCCTTCCAAGTCGGCCGCCCTGCAGTTCGAGTGGGCGTGGCAAAACACGCACGCGACTCGCCACATCGAGCGAGATGTACGCGACGCAAGACGAGACGAGTTGTACAAGGGCAAAAAGAATGCGTCGCCCGCCAAGAGACCCCGGCCACCAATGTCGCTCGAGGCACGATTGAAAAATCTGCATCATCTGTTGGGGGTTGGGAGTTTCAGCCGATGGCCCCTACACATTCGCTTCTTTGCCCCCGACGTCTTCGCGCAGTGGGAAAGACACATTTCCAAGATGAAGACAAAGCTGCCAACTTACATCACAGTTAGACTAACACCAGCTGAACTTCCAAAGCTCGCATCAGACGTACAAAATGAAATGCGCACACATTTCATACCAGATGTCATACGAGCAATTCCAGTTGCATACGAAGACTGCAAGTCGTACGTTGAAAAATCTAGAAGCATGCTTGCAGACGATCAAAAGAGAGCTTGCGCTGTTTGCAAGAACAACTTAAATCCAGAAGAGTCGCTGGTGCTAATCTGTCCTATGGAGGCCTGCCGTTCCGTGTCACATGTGGCGTGTTTATCGCAAAAGTTCCTTGCAGAGGAAGGTAATAAAGACGCATTCATTCCGATTGAGGGAAGGTGCCCAAGTTGCCATACCGTTCTCAGGTGGTCTGATATGATGAAAGAATTGAGCCTAAGGGTGCATGGCCAGGAGGAGATCAAAGCCATGTTCAAGACAAAGCGGGCAAAGAAAGCAGAGGGTAGCGCCGTAGAAGAGGTCGACGAATTTCCTGACATTGACGACCTGGATGCTGATTTGGACGAAGATCTCGATGAGACGTGGGTCGAGAACGTGAACGAGGATGACGACAAGATTCCAGTGTCAAACAATGGATGAATACGTTTACCACTCTTCGACTGTTCGTAGCGGCAACTGTCCTTTCGCAACTCGCTCAATGCACCGATCAGCCTGCTCTCTGACCTTTGCCGCCACCTCTTCGAGACTGGCACCCGCATCGATGCGTACAAAGTCCTCGCCCTCTTTCTTCTGCATCAACGTCTCGAACAGTTCTCGCACGCGGTCCTGCATGTCCTTCTTTTCGTACTTTTCCGTGCCAAAGCCGCCTCGTTTCGCCGCATCATCGGCAGAAATATCGAGGAAAAGACACAGGTCTGGTCGTGGGAGCCCGACATCAGGTTTCCGACACCACTCGAGGCTCATGTTGGGGTTCTGCTTGGCGGCTGAATACACGCAGCCGCTGTAGTAATAGCGATCAATAATGACTGTAGTGCCAGCAGCGAGGTCTGCTCGGATAGATGGACTACAGTTGTAATTAGCGTCTAAATAGCTCATTCGGAGGATGCTGGTAGCCTACGCTGCTTCCCATCGATTGGCAGAGAATAAGAGATGAATCACATGATCCTCCTGGTCGCTTTGCCCACTCAGATAGCTATTAATCATCTGTCCGATCGGTGTCGTTCGATCTGAGTACACCATCAGTCTTATTCTTCCTGAACCCTTGATCCCCATGCAATAACTTCTTCGCGATCATTTTCTACCAAAATTCCCCATCAGGGCGTACACGTACCAGGAAACCGCATATGCCGCACCTTGACGCCATCATTTTGCAAATCCGCAACAAGCTTCTCGCACTGTGTGGATTTCCCTGCACGATCCAAGCCCTCGAAAACTATCAGTTTGCCGCGCGCCATGGTCGGGTTGAGGGGATTGGGTTCGCGTCGTGGAGGGGTTGATGCGCGGTCGAAGCGGCGTGTTGGTGGGGCGGAATCATGCATCGCGTCGCGAAGGCGCTAGTGAGGGAGTGTGCCTTCCGTCCTGTCATGATGTTTCTGAAAACATTGGCAGTCACTAAAACTTGGTTGTTTTTTTCCTTTGCTCATATTCTGCATTACATCTCTGCGACAATCTACATCTCCTCACTGTGATTCAACACGATTCAGGCTAGCTACGAAGGTCCATATGACCAGATAAGAACAGCAGATGAGTGGTGCGAATGCGGTAACACAAAAGCGAGCTGTCTTGATCAATTGGTCGCTAGCATCCTGCAGCCAATTCTGACATGCATATCGATTAGGTGTCGCTAGAAGTATGAAGGATCATAGCAGCAGCTTGCGATCCTGAAGTGGGGTGTTCAGCCTGCCACGATTGCAACAGAACATAACAATTCACAGAAAGGAAGCCACTCGTCTATCCGGATCAGATGGTCAAGTAATGAACTTTTTTTTGGCTATGATATTTGCTTGTCATTCCAACCTTCCTATGGAAATGATTCAGTATCGAATGCCACAACACAAGGCTGACTGACTGCCATAGCCACACCAGCTCTCTACGCTTCCATGCTTGTTTCAGCCTTGCACAGGACGGTTAAATAGGCATCCTCCTAGCCCGCTTGTAAATCAGAATATCGACCCGCTCCTCATAAATATGGCAGACCCTTTCTCAGTCACCGGTACTGCAGTCGGCATAGTTTCTCTTGGCCTACAGACTTGCCAGATTCTTTACAAGTATTGTTCCGAGTTTAAGAGCTTCCCTCGCGATGTTGAGGCCATCCAACGGCAAATCAGAGGCCTTCAAGGCATCCTAGAAGGGCTCCGCGAGGTTAAAGAACAACTGGAAATCGACAACCATACGCCGTCTTCGCAATTACATATGACATTGAAGGAATGCGAAGAAATGTTGCACGAACTTATGAGGATGGTAGAGAAACGGAACCCCACTTCAAAATTAGACAATGTTCAAACTCAACTTCGAGCTGTGAAGGAAAGGATCCTCTGGCCGTACAGGAAAGAAGATCTCAAAGAGGTGCAGTCATTGCTTACAAGGTTCCAAGATAATTTGGCTCTGGCTCTACAGTGTGTCGGCCTTGACGGCACGCTACGTCGGCTGAGAGGCCTACATTATGAGTTCATTGCCCAACAACAACAGGCGATTATGGTGGAACAGACCCTCAATAAAAATACAGAATTGCTTCAAATGATTCGTCGAGATGTTGCTTCGCAAGGCCCTGATCTGTCGAAGATATACAATGAGATCATGAGCCTACGAGCTCAGCTGTTAGAAGACAATGTATTTGTGGATATTGGTCGATATCCGTTGGTGAGAAGTCTAAGATTCAGCTGTTAGAGTCTATAGATGCTAATGCTGAAATAGGCGGACAGCGACTCGTCTTCTCGGAAGTTGATCCTCACATCGTCATCAACAGTATATGCTTTCCCACATGAAGAAGACTATGAGCGCACATCTCAGCTTTCAAAACGGAGTTGTTTCGTCCAAACTGGGAAGTCTAATTCATGTCACTGTCGCTCGAGACGGAAGCGGAAAGCTGAATCCAGAAGATGGTACATGATCCAGACAAATGAAGCCTATGATCACCACGAAGACTGTCCTCGGTTCACACATGGTGACTACACCAAATCTGTTGCTTTCCATTTTTCCATGTACAACAGTCTGATAAGGTTATGCGTACAGGTAGGATGGCAGTATTCAAGAAAAGGGGGCTGGAGTTCACCAGCACCCGTGCTGAGATATCGGACTGTAGCTCCGCAAGACTCACCGGTGTTCAGACTCTTAGATTACCAATCCTGGTTCTGTGACTACGCACTTTCACACGAGGAAAACTGTAGCAAGATGGCAATCATTTTCCCAACCATTGCACCTAAACTTCAACAGGAGTTTGGAAAGGGTGCCTGCCCTACTCATCTTGATACGAAACGAAACGGAACTTTATACGTATGTGTTTACGCCGTTTTTATTTCCCAAAAAATAATAAAACGTAGGCTGTCCTTCGCTTCATAGAAGGTACAATGAGTTTGATGGACTCAAGAGAGGAATTCATGAGAATTGTGTCTGAGGTCATTGATGTGTGTTTCGACGCAGGTGTACCCTTTGACGATCAAGATGCCGCTAGACGGTAGATTCTCCAATGCTCATTGCTTAAACTTACTAACTGGGACAGCAACCCGGTAGACCATTGGCTTTCAACACCATTGAAGGCCCATGAATATAAAGATGAATGGAAGTTGCGCTATGGTCATGTCTTATTTTGCCTTGCACAGAGGGCAGAAAGCTGGTCTTCCATACAAGTTAAATCCAATCTAACGGTTTCCCCTTCATATCAGACAGTCTTTGACAACGTCTCAGCTCTTTTACAATTAGAGTCGTTTTCCAATAGTAAGTTAACAGCTAGTAACCCCAAACTCCGTCTCTAACTCCTATCTCACTATTTCTCTTAGCATTTACTGAAGATGACTCTCGACGTGAAGTCATACTGCGAAGATCAGAACTCGAGTTTGCCACTCGCCTGAGAGCTCCAGGTATTGACACCTGGGTATCTTTGTTCGCAAGATACGATTCCGTGTACGCGCTAGCATCATGGCCCGGAGGCCTGAGCACGATATTATCTAATCCCAGTATAAGTTTATCACAGGACCTTCTGGAAAAGTTATTGGGCGCAGCTATCGCAATGAAAAACATCGAATCCATCGAGGTCTTGTTGAACTACGAAGTTCCCATAACACAGGAAACTTGGGACAACATAACATACTATTTTTTTGAATTGGAGAATCATGACAGACAGGCCGATTTCTTGTTGACCAAGATTTACCATCACATTGCGAGTCATCTCTACCAAGACGACAACGATGGTTCAAATGATCAAATCGATACAAGTGGTTTTGAAAGTGTCAATGTAACCGAGAAGGCCTCGTCACTATATCACAATATGCTTTTGACGCTCTTGCCGGCGGAATCCGCTTGGCAGGTAGGCCACCGCGGAGTGGGATCCATCGGGCTTATTAGCAATTCATGGACTCCCCGAAAGGCTCGAATTGGTACCCCCTGTTGGGCTCAAGCACTCATTTGGATGGACTTCACTGAGTTGTATTCTGGATTCCTTGCGACTTTCAGGTGGCTTATGGAACATGGTGCTGACCCTTTTTGGGTGCATCCAATTTATCTTACGACCCCGGCTCACATGCTTGTTCGACAAATTCTTTTTAATGTTGATTTCAACTTCAATCATAGGGAAGATATACTCATGCTTCTATCATCACAAGTTAGTGACAATTGTCAGTGTTACTGCTCACAAGATGGCTGCAGCGTAATTGGGTGTGCGATTTCAAGCCAATTCAGAAGGCGCTGGGGTTGCCATCCAATAACTGATTTGCGAAAGTATCAGGCATACCCTTTCAGTCTTGTCAATAACAACCACAACAACTCATGGATGGCCTCTGCAATACTTCGAGTCTTGACATTCGACAACCTGTCACTGACACATACTTGCTGCTATCGAATTTACGAAGAGTTATTCGATGATGTCACACGCACGACACCCGAAGAAGCAGAAGAAATCCATGATCTCGAGCGCGATGACATCGAGCTTCTCGACAGAGTCGTCGCAGAGTTGGAAGAAAAATGGGCAGGGTACAAGAAGCCCTTCGTCACTTTCATGAATCGAGTATGGAGGCCTCGAATGCGAAAGATACGCCTCGAGCGACAGGTAGACCAGGCCAGTTACGAAGCTGAATTGGTTGGAATCGGTGTCAAGTTGAAAGAGCCAAATGAGAAAACGAATTTGGAAATTGATTCGGACGAAGAAAGTGATGCAAGCTGGCCGGACGACTATGAAGATAGTGATAGTGAGGGATGGTACACAACCGACGAAGAGGATGCAGATGAAGTGGAAGATCATGGAGAAGGGAGCAGCTAGAAGCCGAGCTGTTTGTAAGGGTTGTTACAAGTACTTGAGCTGGGGGTGGGCGGTCACCATCTATTTGGTTTTCTTTGAACATGAAATTCAACCGATAGTCGTTTCCAGTATATCCGATACCGATGGGAATGAGTTTTACGGGTGTTCGTATGCAATCTAAAATTATATCAATCCAGTATGGATCTCTCACGTGTCATTCCAAATTCAGTTTCAGCGAGTGGATTGAATACTATAGAATTCCAATAACCCTGATGCTTATCGATCTTTCACGGGATATCGTGAGTCTTACTTTTTTTCCCTCATTTTCGATCAAACTCATGGAGTAATTGAGATGAATAGAGTTGGCAAAGTGAAAGGAAGCGAACAAACTGATCCGAATCATCACAAGGCTAACAACGTGTCGCCCTCTACAACACTCGGAATGCAGCAAAATTCACAATTTTCAGAGCATATATAAGGCGTTGGATGGCCAAAAAACGACCCATCTACTACCCCTGTGGCCACGCAAATTCTAACCCCTCTGCTCATATCTTATTTGGCAAAACCTACTGAACGATTATTTGCCGCGCAAATTCAGAGAACTGATCAAGTCGTCATTCACTACCCCTAATTCTACGAATCTATATCTTCCGCGGAGCCATGCCCTAGTCAGCCTTGTGTGAACAAATTGCTTCTGCGTTGACACGTATGCTACCGATCAATATGCTGTGCCACGCCAACTCAGGCGTTCTCGCTGAATGTTACACGATATTGATAAGATGGTGTATGTACGTAACGAGTGATTGGATCGGTATCATGCGGCTTGGCGAGGGGAAGTCACAAGGCTGAGCCGAAGTTGCTGTTGCCTAGTCGTAACACTACTATCGCTCTATTCCTCCAAAAAGAACAAAATTCTGGCCACCTGGAGTTCTTTATTTTATTGATTTAGACACCTAAGATGACTGAAGATATTACTAACATTCTTACTGCGGGAATTGCTGCGCTTGACTTAAAACAGTCGACCCAAGAGACGTACACGGTCGGGAATAGTGCGAGCAAGTCGTTGAGCGACAGTGTTTCGCAAAGACCAATTGCGAAGTTTACTCGTCGTGTTAGAATTCAGCACGTAGATCAGTCGCGTGGCAGTTCAGTGGAACGAGCACAATCATTAAGTGCAAAGGACAAAGAGAAGGCTGTTGGAGACATTTCTCGGCTGCGTAAAGATTCGCATTCCGAGACTGCTAGCGACAAGTCGACCACTAGGCCACCATTGGACGTGGTACAATCTGAACTCGAACTTTTATTGCTCGAAAATAAGAAACTGAGGAAAGAGGCAGACGAATCCAAGGCAAAATGGAACGAGGAGATCTCGAGACGAATCGAAGCAGAAAGCGACCTGAAGAAGAAAGAAGACGAATTAGTTGCATGCAGAAAAGAGCTAGAATCCCTAAAACATCAAACCCAACAACTACGAAGTCGCGCCACCACCGAGCAAATAGCCCTGGACGGAAAAAGCTTTCCTACCCTCACCGGCGTCTATTTCACAAAAGACTATGAAGAAACCGACTGCGTCACGCAAGTAACCCTCGAACTCACCCTGTCCAAGATTTTTACCTTCCCAGCCAAAGAATGGATGGAAAACGAACTGCTATATGAAGGCCATGACGACGGCGCCATAGCCCTCGTCCGCCTCTTTGGTCAACTCTACGCCTCAAAATGCGGACGTAACCGCAACTCTTACACCGACTTCATCGACTACGCCATCTGGACGCGCGAAGCCATCTTACTCTCTAAAATGTTAGGGCTAGAGCTGGAGCGCGGGTGGGCGATGCATGCAGAGATGCAATTGATTGCTTTTTGGCTGACGCGGTACTTGGGGTCTGCGGGGTTTGGGATAAGGGATTTTGATGATCCGGCGGCGTATAAGGTGTGTCCGGAGGTTGAGGAGAGGGGTGTGGTGAGGATTTTTGTTAGTCAGAAGGTTTGTGCGTCGTGTTTGGGGGTTGTGGAGAGGGTGAATTGGGTTGTGGGGAAGTATGGGGTCGAGTTTGAGGTTGTGGATGGGAGGGTGGGGTAGTGGTTGAGGATATTGGGGATGAGGTACGATCGAGTGGTGGTTTCAGAAGTTGAGCAGGTAGGTACTTGGGTGATGCAAGGTTACGTCGTTTCGGTTTTGACGGAGATAAGTAATAGAGAGTTCAGCCGATTGCGAACGTCTTGAGAGATGTTCTTTGCGCTTTTGAATATTTTAATTACTTTATTCATGTCTTCTTCCATGCGTCATTGAATGTGAGCGATGCGGATACGTGATGCATCATGCAGCGCATTGAACGCAGAAGATCACGACAACTTATCTTGAACGGTCTCGGTTTCAGGAACATGCAAGCGGTATCTCCGGAACTTGGGCTCAGACAAAAGTTGCAGGTTGCAGGGCGTGGCAATATCTGGCCAATCAGTACTCATGGTGTAGTTCGGCCGAGTCTCCCCCTCCTTGTAGTGTAATTGTCAGCTACAACATGTCAGACGGAGAGGTTAACTCGATCCTACGCAATACCAAACTTAGTTGCCTGGATGACTCCAGATATAAAGGACGGAAATGACCGGACAGGTCAAGATGAAAGTCCCAAAGACCTATCCATCTTTCTTCGAGGCCGATTTATCGAATCAGAGCCAGCGGAGCCCACATTAGAAACTACTCACCGGATACGGCGATCACCGAGACCCGAGGATATCAAAAGAGTTGAAATCTCAAAAGATCATCATACCCCTCTCTTGCACAAACACCATCTCATCCGTAGCAAATTCCAAAATGTCTTCTCCAAAACTCATCGTGCACCACCTCCAGGTTGGCCAAGGCGAGCGCATTCCATGGCTTCTCGAGGAGCTTAATATTCCTTATGAACTGAAGCTCTACCAACGCTCGCCCCTACTCTCTCCGCCTGAGCTCAAAGCAGTGTATCCTCTCGGCTCTTCTCCTGTACTCGAGGATGTCACGGACCCCTCCAATCCCATCAAGATTGCCGAATCAGGTGCCATTGCAGATTATATCATCCAGAAGTACGCAAATGGCCGGCTGGCACTGGGACCGCAGCACAAGAACTTTGCGGACTACTTGTACTGGTTCCATTTTGCGAATGGAACTCTACATCCCACCTTATTCAGAAGGACTTCGGCTCGAGCAATGGTTGGCGAGCAGGATCCCAGGTACATAGGTGTGGCTGATCGCACCGCGAATGCATTGCAACATGTCAACAACCGTCTACTGAACAACACCTGGCTCGCAGGCGAGGAGTTTACTGCCGCGGACATCATGAATGCGTGGACCTTTACGACGATGCGCAAGTTTGAGCCAATAGACCTGAGCGACTATCAGGGCATTCTGGCGTGGCTCAAGCGCGTTGGCGAGCGTGAGGCATATAGGCGCGCCATGGGCAAGTCGGACCCAGATCTGAACCTTGAGGAGGGTCTCAGTGCCAAAGGGCCACCGCTTATGGAGGCATGGGCCAAGGCTATGGGAATGAAGCCGTGAGTGCGGTGCGCAGCCTCAAAGATGTGCGGCTGATGGATTTAGGGGACGTCAGAAGCTTTGAGCAGGAATTATGGTAGATGTATATATGTTATCTCTGCTCAGGAATCTCACAAGATACGTCAACGCTCAATTATAGTATTATGGTTTGCGCAGTACCGGTGTTGCACGTGAGCTCCAAAGATGACATGAAGCTAAGGGCCATCGGAATCCGCCGGCAGCGTAGGATGCTCCCGGGCCCACTTCGAAGCGAGCATTCAGGTACAACACGCCATGTCCTCGACCTCATCACGACCACCTGATCCGTCACACCACTCATCCCGATGCAGGTACGCGTCGCATTGCGATCTGGATGGCCTCATTGTTGCCAGAGTTAGCCAATGCAGCATGAGCGTGACCTGAGGCGATCGGACACGCCATGGCGAGCGGGGTTTCTACCAAACGGGTAGTGGTACTATGAGATCACATAAAGCTTGATGACCCCTCACGAGAGCACCTCCGCATCTCGTAGTTTCCAGCAGTATACATAGCTCCGAGTCCTCTTATAATCACTCAATCCACATCTCTGAACTCTCAAACTACTCCTACAACTCCTGCAACTCCTCCTACAGCTCCTACAGCTCCTCATCATGGCTGCAGCAAAGTACTCCCGCCGTCCCAGCTACCTGGAAGGCCCATTGTCTCCTTCGATCATTCCCGATCTAGCTATCCTGCCTCAACCCCTCCCTGCCAACACGGTCTCGTGTGGACAGTTGGTCTCCAAATCATCCAAGCATACACCCAAAACACTAGAAGACCGTGACTACGACGATGTAGGCACGCGATGGTACGCGTTGTTTCTTCAAACAACATAGCCAATGTGTACTGACTCCCTGTAGGTACAAGGATGTAATCTTCTTCAACTCGGAGAACGGTCACTTCGTTGAGAGCTTTGGTGGCGCCCACCTAGTACAGAAGCCGCTTGACAAGGGCACCGAAGCTGGCACCATCGAGGCGGAGGAGCAAAGTGTGCGAATGCTGAAAGATGCCGAAGCCGCTCTGAAGAAGGTCTGGCAGGACGAAGAAGCCAAGAAGTGGATCAAGGAGCAAGACGAAGCCGGCTTTGTAGTCGCTCATCGCCAGGTTGCCAACGCAAGCTACAGGCGCGCTAGGCTCGTTGATGTTGGCAACAACAACTGGGAAGTTGTGCGTGAGATAGGCGGCGAGGACGCCTCGGGCAAGCGGAGGGACTCTGGTCTACCCATTGATACCAACAGCAAGTGGGATGTTGTGGGCGTTGTCGTCAGAAAGATCATCGTAGATGGTGACGATGTCAAGCTTGGTGAGGAAATGGGTGCTCAGTACTGCAGCAGCTGAGCACACGATGTATGGATGCTTAACACCACGCCGTTCAATTGACAGCCCTTTGGCTGCTGTATCGGCGCACTCTACTCTTATTTATATCATTTTAGCGGGTTAAATTCAATAATACGAAAACGACATCCAAGATTCTCCATGAATGAGATAACTCATGACGACCATGAAAGAGTTTCGACGCGGTACATTAACCTGTTTTTTCAAGTCTAAGAATTATTGGAATACTCGTAGTAACTACGTAAGTATCCGAGGTAGGATGGCGATCAGTGTATCTGTACTTGGGCTAATGCAAGGCCGAAGCTGCCCCCTCTACTACCACATCCCAATCCGTCCGCCAATGCCCTACCATACAGCCACCAACCTACGAAGAGAGCATAATTGCATGCAAACATATCCGGTATGGCTTGCATGTATTGCCAGTACACTGTTCAGAAAGAAGCAATACAAAATCCCCACGTGCTGGTCCCTCGCAAAGCACAAACGCGGAAAGCACCTTTGTTCGCCCTAGCGCCTCACCATGCAGCAACCTCTTTAACGACCACAACACCCGACTACCTGAAACAACCCGTGAAAGAAATAACCATCACTCTTTCGGGTATTCACTCACTCGGGTTACACAGAGAACACGGGGAATATGCGGAAAACACCGGCAAAGACCCACCTGCCTGCACTTTCACCGTACCTGCCCTAAACAGCAACCCAACATGTTTGACCTACGACTATATAACTCCGCTCCCTTCCCCACCCTCTCCCATCTCTCCACCACGAAAAAGCGGACACCTTCAAACCTACCTCTTTACACACAAACATACACTCTTTCAACCTCCAAAATGCACTTCCTAACCCTCCTCCTCACCTCCCTCCTCGCCGCTACCCTCGCCATGGCCTCTCCCGCCCCGATGCCCTTGCCCGAGCGCTTCGAACCGCCCTGGCCCGCCACAGGTCCGCTTTCAGGCTCGCTTCCAAAGAACATGGCGAAGATCTGGGTGTTTGATGATATGAAGTGCGATGATAATGGTGGGCGCACTTACATGGTGAATGTCATGCCTGGTCAGGATCGGTGCTTGGCGTTTACGAATGTGGGGTCGATATTTTCGTGGTTTAAGTCGGATATTGGGTAAGCGTTTTTTCTCTCTTTTCTTTCTATGAGTGTTTTGAAAGGGGAGCGGGGCTAACGGCGATATATAGCAAATGCGAAGTCAGTGTGCACAGCGGAAGCGACTGCAAGGGCTGGAAGTGGACGACAAGGAATAAGGCGTGTAGTTCGGGGCATTTCGCTTCGGTTCGGGTCAAGTGTCCCAAGGCGTAAATCGCATGGGCAGTAATGGAGCTTGCGATGTAGGATGGTGGTGATTCGGATCGGGAAAATGCATCAAGGAGGATTCGGCCTTTCCCCTTTACTAATCATACATGACTTGATTTCATAGCCTGTATCATAACTATTCCCCCAATCAAACACATAAGAAAACCTGGTCTCTCTTTCTCTCACTTCCCCAACAACATCAATCTCCCTCCTCCCAAAAACAGAAAACGTCCTTAACACAAAACCCCCCACCCCAACAACAACAACCACCCCACCACCACAACCCCCCCTTTCAAGTGTTCCACCCAGCATACTTATAGCACCTCCAACACTGCTGATACTCCTCCTTGTACGGCACAGCCAAATACCGTGCCTTGGCACAATCATAACAAACACTATTATGGATGCGCTCCATGCACGACGCGCACGACATCTTCATATGCAGCACATTGGAGCGGCCGGCGCGGTAGCAGTAGTCGATGCAGCGCTGCTGCTCGGCCACGGGGCGGACGTGCATCGGCTTCGTGTCTTTGAAGAAGAAGTAGAGCGTGATGAAGAGGGTGAGGGAGACGAGTTTGAGGATGTGCATGGTTTGGAGATTTATTAAGGCTTGGTTGGGGTTAGATATCTATGGGTGGAAGAGGGGAAGGAGGGGGCGGACAAGGTACCGTGATACGAGTGGGCAGAATGTGTGTGTGTGTATGCCTTGGTTGCTTTTTTTTTGGATTTGGTTAAGAAGAAAAACCTGTTTCTTGTGCTTGAGTTTGGAGAAACTGGAGAGGGAGAGAGAGAGAGAGAGAGGCACAAGGGGAGGTGGGCAGCGAACGGGAAGTCTTATAATACAGTATAAAGCAGGGACTGGGTAGATGTTCGAATACGAGTTATGGACTCTAGCTGGAATTGTGACGCAGGAAAGAAGGGAGCAGATGTGAAGTCGAGCATGTCATGATACACGTATTGAGGAGAGATGAATGCGGCGCCAGAGAATCAATCGTGTAGGGGGGGTATGATGACACTGGAAAAGGGATACTTGCAGCTACGACATCAAGACTGCGAGCCCTACTATTACCGCTGTAGGAATTCTAGAATTCCCATTTCTCGAAAAGACTCAGTTGAGGTGAGGTAGGACAGGGTTTATCTGGGATAAAGTCCCACTCCGACCCATGGAAAGAAAATGAGGGACTTGGGATATTAGGGTCCCAAAAGTAATTAGCGCATCATTTGACGTCTCCAAACTCGTTTCTGATTGTCGTTTACATTTCTCATTCACTTAATGAAGAGGGGGTCCGCATGAGCAGTAAACCCCAATCCAAATTGTACATTCCCCTCAACCTGTTTCGGTTGGAGGCAACCCCTCCTTCCATCTGCGAAGACTATCGACTCATTCGCTGGAGTCTGATTGTTGTAGAAACTTTGGTACTGCCATGTGCGCTATCATAACGCCTAACACCAGGTATAAACAAGTATGAACCAAAGGGAAAGTTGAGAAGACGCTGGCAGACTTCTACGAGAGCGTGATGTCGCTAGCAGTCCCATCTCCATTCTGCTCCATCTTCACGTCTTCACCATCTCCACCTGCCAGAACTTTGGTCTGTGGGCGGTATCCCTCTGGCGGGCCTACACCAGGTGTGCATGCTGCGACATTGCCCTGCTCGTCGACAAACTCGAAGTTGTACCGGGAGAGTAGGTGTGGAATTGCTGAGAGTTGGGGTCCGTAGCGAGCGGTGTTATCGTACAGTTCGAACAAGGGGACAGCGAGGAGCTTCATGTTCTTTGGAACGCTGAGGACCTCTGCACATGGTTAGCAATCTAATCACTCCAACAAAGGTAGGACCGAACACACTGCTGCGGGGAAGTTGGATGAAGTAAAGCTTCTTGCATTCCTTGGGCCTGGTAACGTGGGCAGGAATGAAGGGGTACATGAAGGTCTCAAAGTTGGGACGCCACCACTGCGCCAGTGTGTCTCCAACTACCCATTCGTCGTTGACGCCCTCTCCTGTGAACTGTGTTCCGACCGGTGCAAGGCGCTCGTTCAGCCTCGCCTTGAAACCCTCAATCTCGTCATCTTCAGCGCGGAGGTAATCGCCAGGACTGTCGCATTCGTTGGTATTTTCAGTATTCGAATGATACTACAACAAATACTTACAGCTTAAAGAAGGCGTTTGCAATCTGCAGCATGAGAATGTGGGGATGGTTGTGCTCGTGGCAGACCAGTATGCCTTCGCAAGTTCGTCGCATGCCGTGTTCCGAGTAGTGCTCTTCGAGTCGCTTCAGTCGCGCAAGGACAGAGGGGTCCTCTTCTGGCTGGCCATCCTTTGTTCCAAAAGTATAATTGCTCAAAGGATACAGACGGATCGTCTTTGGCTGGTTTCCATTAAAGTCCTTAGGAATGACGGGGCTGTCTGTGTTAGATGAATGTGGGTAAGATATGATGAGGTAAAGACTCACGGATATGAGCTTTGGGAAGCTTCCTTTACTATTGTCGACATTGTGGTGGTGGTGGTGGTGGTGGTTGAGTGTTGTTGCGATTGATGCAAGTCGCAGCTACTTCGCGACAGTTGAGCCGTCGCGGTAAGCTTGCAGGGATGCGGGCGTCTCGCTAGCACGTGATAGCGCCCCGGCCCTTCCCTTCCCCAGTCACTTTCAACTGCTCATCTCAAGCCTCCAAACTTGCGCAACTCTCTCCCCAAGAAAAACAGTCGAGAATCCTGATTGCTGTGCTCCGTTTCGATAGTCGAGGCATGTCGTACTCTGCATTAATTACTGGAGGTAAAGCGAGCCTTGACAAGTATCACGCTGCTGGCTGACCCCAAGACAAAGCCAGTGGCCTGCTCGGACGTCAAGTGCAGCGAGAATTCTTCATTGATGGCTGGGAGTCGGTTGGAACTGGTTTGAACCGCGTAACCGCACCCAATGTTGTCAAACTTGACATTCGAGACCATGGAGAGATTGAAAAGGCACTAGACAACATCAAACCTGTTGTTGTGGTCCATTGTGCTGCAAATCGTTTTCCAGACTCATGTACTGCCAACCCGGAAGCAGCAAGAGCGCTCAATGTGGAGTCAAGTCGCGCCTTGGCTCAAGCAACTATAGCTCGAGACATCTTCCTCATCTACATATCCACTGATTATGTCTTTCCGGGGCGCCCAGGCGAGGCTCCTTACAAGGTCGACGCTACCCCAAACCCGCCAAATGTGTAAGTTAATTTGGATGCATCCTCAAAGTTGTTATCGAGATTAGGCTGACGGTCATTGCTAGTTACGGCCAGACCAAGCTAGAAGGCGAACAAGCTGTTCTTGATGTTGCAGAACTCGTCAATGCAAAGAACAAAGTTGTTGTCCTTCGAGTTCCTGTCCTCTACGGAGCCTGTGACGAGCCCAAGGAAAGCGCAGTCAACGTACTCATGTCGCAATTATGGAATGCTCAGCAAATAGGCGAAGGCGAACCCAAGATCCAAGTCGATGACTACGCACTCCGATATCCTACCAACACTCAAGATGTCGGCAGAGTATGTCGTGACATAGCAAGGCTGTATCTGAATCCCGCCAATGCGTAAGCAATAGGAACATCACACAGTCACTTAATCATTGCTGACAACTTACCAGAACCCGTGAACTCCCCAGAATCCTTCACTTCAGCTCAGAAGACCAGATGACCAAATGGCAAATCTGCCAGACTTTTGCCGACATCATGGGATTGCCGCTCGACAACATGGTGCCCTTCAGGCCTGAGGAAGAACCGAAAGATGGTACCATTCGGCCCTACGACTGCCATCTAGATACTAGCGTCCTTCGGGATCTGGGCATCGACGTCTCGACCGTGGACTTTAAGACGTGGTGGTAAGGGTGTATAAAAGCCTTGTACTCGAAACCGCTAACCATATTGCAGGAGACGCGAAGTCGGGGCATTCCGCTAACACAGCAAGCTCTGTCTCAGTTACAACAACTGCACCTTTTATCCATATATCGATAAACTGCTCGTCAAATGCATACCACAGTCCTGTATACATCATTCCTGTGTACTATCGCAAGGCTGTCTGCCTCACATGCCAAGACCATAGAGAAAACCGGGGATCGTCACACCCGTTGCCAGCAAAGCCACCCGCACCTGCATAGTTACTCTAAAAAGAAAAGCATGTATCCACTTGCCGCTGCATCGCTGCAATCGTATTGGACAGTAAACAAATAACGTTAATCGCTGTGTTCCTGATGGCATTGCTCTAGGCTACATGAGGAACGTTGTCGCTAAACCATTGGCCCACATGTGTTACTGCGCCGCAGCAGGCGCCTCGAGATTTGGGGGCGCTTATGCTGCCATAAGTTGCGAATAAGTACCTATCGTGTCAACATGTAGAAAGTATCAATCCAACTCCTAGTATCCTGCTCCACGATTTTTCTGTTGTGTTTTGTTCCTTTCATTGGTAATTGCTGTTTGTTAGTCCACTCATTTTTTTTCTTTTAATCATGGATGATGCCAGTGCTACATTCGTGGCGCAACCAAGCGTTGCTAACGCTACTACTCGACCAAAGAAGTCGGGTGCTTTAGTATCAATCTTTTCAAGAAGCAGTTCGGAAGACCAGTGTACGTCGATACTCGGCTATCTACACCGCATCACAGTTAGATATTAACAAAAAAGCACAGCGCCCAAACGATGGAAACCAGCTGCACTCCGCGCTCCAGTGCTAATTCTAACCATATTAATATGCTGGTCGTTAATCGCCGTAGTCCAAATACTACTGACCCGGAGTCAGCAAAACCAGGGGATAATCTTCGCACCGAGAATCAGTGATTTACCACTAAGCCGCACGTTCTTATACTTGTACTTTCCGACTATCGTCGCTGTGATGTTCAGCATGTACTGGGCATGGATCGACCTGGAGACCAAACGCATGGAGCCGTACTACCAGCTTAGCAAGGAAAACGGTGCGCTGGGCAAGGACTCGATACTGCTCAAGTACCCGTTCGACTTCCTCCCGCTAGTCCCGATTAAAGCGGCTAGAGACAGGCATTGGCCTGTCTTCTGGGCTTCGTTCGCAGTCGTTCTGGTAACCTGGGGACTAGTGCCTACGCAAGCTGGTATCTTCTCTACGCGTTCCATTACTCGCAATGACACTATGCCGTTTGACCGCTCAACAGCGTTCGTACCTGCTAGCGACCAGGCGTCGACGTTGACGCTGCGCTTTGCTCAGTCGGCATATGGCATTGCGGTGTTGAATGAGACGCTGACACAGTATATGGCCCGGAACTATACGCTCGCTCCGTTCCGACCGACACCTGGTTCGAAAACGGATAATAAAACTGTGCCGTACGGGAATTGGACGGCGCCGACGACAATGTATAGTTTGGATTTGTACTGTGAGCCTGCCATCATGAGTCCCGGCCGTCTAGGCAACGGAGCCATCGCCAACAGTTCCACCGGATGCTCTTTCAGGATGGGGTTAGATGGGAATCTTACTGTTGGTCCGAACAAGGCGCACCCGGGCTCGTCTGTACTGCGGAATAAAGAGTTCACAGCCATGTATGTTGGTTATTCGAATCCATTTGGCTTTGCGGACTATTCCCTGGATACATATTGTCCGGAGACAACCAGCGCACCATTTTATGCTGCGATCCAGCGCAACAAAGCCAAGGATACGGATCGTGTTCAGAATGTTACAGCAATTTACTGCTGGCCGACTTACTACCAACAAGATGTAATTGCCACCGTGGACGCAGTTACGTTGGAACCTACAAAAGTCGACGTTGTCGGAGACAAGAAACCGCTCCAGGATGGCATCTTCAACATGACTCTCTTGGAGCAGCTCACAAGTAGCTACTCGCCAGGGAACGAAGTGAGGGGCGATCTTCTACCGAGTAAATCGACGCCAAAATACTTCGATCCCGTCGCACGCACAGATTTGAGTCTGAGCAGCGGCCCCAAGGGTGCGGCCGTGGTGCACGCAATGGTGGGTCTGGCATTGAGCGTTAGCAACCGTCCCATAGAAGAATACCTGGACTGGAAAGTCCTCGCCAAATCTTACGCAGATGGTCACAGGTTGATATTCGCGCGCGCGATGAGGGATGTGTTGGACCAAGATTTTCGCACTGTCGACAAAATTACTGGGCGACGAGTAGACACTACAGAAGCTGTCTTGGTGGAGCCAGTCTTTGTTTACATTGTCGAGGGCTTTTTTGGAGTCATATCCATAGCCGCCATTGCACTGCTGTACTTGTCGGTTACTCGAGAAAAATGTCTTCACTCCAATCCGAGTACCATTGCTGCCATCATGTCCATGGTCGCTGATAACGAGCTGTTGCTGGCAGATGTGGAAGGATTGGACTGTTGCAAAGAAGATGAAATAGAGAAGCAGCTTGGCCAAAAAAGATATAAGCTTCTTGACGACGGATCTTCGATTGGGTAAGTTTCATTTAGTATCGACTAAAATGGATATGTCGCTAAATTCAGAGGCAGTCTCATCGAACTGGGTCATTCTCCCATAGTCGTCGGTAGTACTAATCAGTCATCACCCCCAGGACAACGCCGCGACAAACTGACAGATATTGCGAAACCCGTTAGACCTTTTGAATTTAGCCTTTGGGTTGCCGGTCCACTCGTCAGTATTTTTATAGCCTTGGTAGTCATTCTCACTGTTATATTCACCAAGGCTCGATTGCAGGGTAAGATTCATTGCCGTTCAGCCGGAAGTACTTAAAAGCGCTGACTGAGGCAGGCCTGCCCCTCCCTTCTTCCAACACGGTCGTACAGAATATATTGGAGAATTACATACCCACCGCGATAGCAACGCTCATCGAACCAATATGGCTTCTTTTCAACCGTCTACTGTGCATGCTGCAGCCGATTGAGGAACTCCAGGCGTGCAACGCACCTGCGAAAAAGTCAATTGATCTCAACTACAGCTCTCTTCCGCCACAGCTCGTCGTTTTCAAAGCTCTGAAATCAAGACATTTTGTCCTTGCCGTGGTTTGCATAATGGCTTTGCTCGCGAATCTGCTCGCAGTAAGTCTGGCAGGCCTGTTCAACCAGGCCACTATCGACATGCGATACACTACAACTACGAACCCACCATATGATTTCAAATTTGTCCCAATCAATGGTACCATAGGTCCTATAGGTGGCGAAACCTTTGGTGCACTACAGGCATCTGGAGCTTACCAAGGTGGTAATGGAGAGGATCAATTCTTGATTGCCGACTCACACCTTAGACAAGGTACTCCATTGCCTGCATGGACTGACGAAAAAATGTTCTACCTACCGTTTCTTGCAGAGGGAGCCAACGCCACATCCTTGCACGGCGTAGAAGCTAGAACAAGGAGTATCGGCGCGAACCTCACGTGCAGCAGTCTCGAATTCGACGAGAAATTCCAAGCTAGCTTGCTTGATGAGAGCCCAGGAAGCGATACCATCAGACCTTCTGTTAATATCACCGTCATTTCTGACGCTGGGAAAGCCGTGCGATGCACTAGAACCGAGGTTTATATGCGCCAGGGTCCAATATCGTCCAAGGAAGGGAGCTGCGTTACTGGACCAAGTGCAGCTGAACTTGTGTTCGTATTGGGTCCAACCGCCAATGCTTCTCAGGCCGATGCAGAAGTATGCATGGGATCAGTCGTCCTGGGATGGCTTCGGGATCGTAATGGTACCTGTGGAAACTTCAAGGCAAGGGCACTGAACAAGCAGAACTCTGCTTTTGTTCACTGTCGACCGAAATTAACGACAGGCTTTGCAACAATCAGTGTCGACTTTAGTGGTCGTTTGCTGAAGAAAGCACAGAATGTGACAGTGGATAGCCAGGTGCCAACGGAAACCTTCAGTAACGGCCCCATCAACCTTATTGGCCAATCCAACAGGTACTTGTTCATGACCAGTAGTTCTGCATGGCACAATGACAGCTTCGCCGACGGCTTTATCAATTACTTCGTCAGTCATGTTACCAACAACAGCCGCTTGGTCGACCCTACACAAGGATTGCCCACATTTGGAGACATAGAAGGCCCCTTGAATGAGGCATATTCCCTTCTATTTGCAATCTGGATGGGAACCAATAAAGACAAGTTGTTGATACCCAGCCAAACTCAGAACGCACCGACATCAAAAGGTTGGCGCATAGAGCCGGAAACGCGCCTCTTCATGTCGATGCCAATGTTTGTCATTTCCGAGGTCATCTTGTGCACCTATGCCATCGTTGCAATCATGGTGTACATGCGTCGACCTGGCCGCTATCTCGCACGGTTGCCCACATCGATCGCTTCTTTGATGGCCCTGTTCGCCGCTAGTGCAGCAGTTCTGGATATGCGGGGGACGTCCTATCTAGACAAAAGGGGCCGAGCCCAACATCTTGAGAAGGTGGACGCGAGGTACGGATATGGGAGCTTCATTGGTGGTGGTGACGGGAGAGTTCATATTGGCATTGAGAAAACACCATTTGTGAGAGTCAGGTCCAAAGCCACTTGGTTTGACAAAAAGGTTGCTTCTTGGCGGAGGGGCTCAAGCAGTTAACGCTTAATTTATAGATTCAAACTGATCAGCAAAATAAGCCAGATTTTATCCTGTTTGTGTTTCTTTTCCTGTGTCCAGCATCTTCAGTGCTCTTGAAACACTACTGTGCTGACGCAGCCATGCTTTTGTTTGCAGTGTTTCTAGAGTATCAGTCCCGAGCGTCTGGAGAAACTGGGGCTAAACGGAAAACTCTTTCCGCACCAATGGAAACTCCCCGGAGCTGTTGTGGGAATAGCACCATTGACTAGTCACTGTCCTCGTCTAAGGGGGCCGAGGAGGAACATGCACACTGATGTCCACAAGTCCGATGTGGGACATGTGGTAATGTGCTGAATCTTCAAACGAGTTATAGCTAAGTATGCCGTTCGTCATGGGGTAAAACCTAAGAGCGGATATTTGCACCCATTGAGACAATGAGCGGCAATGCCAATCTCCGTGGAAGATCACATTCCGGGGGGATCGGGAGGGTCAACGACAGCGGAAGTGCAACATTGCCGAAAGGCCAAGGGGAAGTAAAGTGGCGCTTTGAAAAGTCTGAATCAAGAGTGAACTTGCAGTGTTTTCAGAGTAGTGAACATGGCTGCCATTTGCCGAAGTTTGCCTAACGGAGCCCTTGGCCACTTCAGGTTGTATCCCTGAGGTCATTCTCAAGAACTTCTGGAATCCCGTCAAACCTACCGAAGGGGGTAGTGAAATGCTTAGCGGTTGTGCTTGAAAGCTTTTGTGTACTCCTGCATGGTGTAGCTCGAGACAAGCAATGCGGCTGCTTGTCGTTCGGTGGCTATGACCCAACAAACGCCTGTTGGAGGGATGGGAGGGCGACTAATGGCGTGGAAAAGTTGTGATGGATAGTGCGGTGGCCATGGCTCTAGTCGAGGTTCTAAGCTTTGTCGGCATCGTCATCGTCGTCGTCGTCTTTGGTTGTGTCGGGTACGGGTCGATTGGCCAGTGGACGTTGTTCGCGGAGCATCCGAAACCAAGCTCCATAGGCCACGTCTAGTCCCCACTGATCAACTTTGGGAGACAGGAGAGGCGGGTAAGGTGTAATTGTTTGCTAGTCAGTCCCGCGCGAGTTCCTTGGGTGTGAGCGATATAGTGAAACGAGCTGTAGTTGATGAATGCCCAATCATGGGCGGGGAGGGTCGACAATTGGCAGGCGACGGCGCACCTTTCCCAGAGCAAGCAAGTGACGAGTGGCGGGTAACGAGAGAAGCGAGGCCATAGGGTCGCGGCCGCCGGGCCACATGACCCAGGCGACCACGAGGCTCTAGCCCCAGCGGCCAGCAGCGAGCGGCCACAGCCACACAGCCGGTACTCAGATCGCAATCCTTCCGCTCGCCTATGCCGACGTCAGGCAAGCGGACACGATGTGGCGCAGCTGTGCTCGCACGAAGGCCATGTCAGTCGCATTTCGCCGACAGACCAGATTAGCAACCTACTTACTCACTACACCTATGTACCTTGCACAGATCTCCACGCCGTTGCCGCTGCCGACTGTCACGGCATAGGAGGCTTAGCTGTGGCGAGCCAAAAAAAGACGCTTGCGCATGACGAGGTATACCAGGGATGTTATGCATGAAGTTTGTATGTCATTGATGGGGTCTGTTGGCGGGCGAGGCCTGCAATCAAAGGGAAAAGGTGGTCGTGGTGCCATGGCAGGCACCGTGGCTGGACGCAAGCAGGCTTGTTTGCGCCCATGGTAGAGGCACACACACAGGCACACACATAGGCGGTTACGAGGCGGTGGCTAGCGACAAAGAGCCGCCAGTGTGCTACGTGGTTTGCTGGCGGACAAGCAAAGTGTGGGAGAAGAGCGGTCGTGGAGATGAGGCGGTGGGCCAATGAGGGGGTCAAGAGCAGGCCTCAGCGAGGGTGCATGTCGTTTCAGATTTGGCTAGTGATCGCCGCGCCACGCTAACGCTAGCCCTGGCGTTATCGATAGGCTACGAAATCCCACCAGCCCCTGCATAACTCGCAAACCGCAAGTACAGACCTCAAACCTGATGGAGGCCCCCTGACTAGAAGACAGTACCAATACCTGCCCCTCCGAGCCATACTCCGCTCTTTTTGTTTCAAGGACAATGGCCTTGTCATCACCGCAGAGCCAATCGCGTTCAGATGGTGCCTGTCGCTAGCTGCCGACACTGAGGGTTACACCACCTTTCCAGCGCCCACACCCCTCCCGCTAAACCACAGGGGGTACACTAACCGAACAGCCATGCTCTTCGTTGCAACAGACACCCTGCTCCATCGAATAGCCTATGCTTTTTCACGATGATCCGCCGGCACAGTGGCTCCCAGCTGCTAGTGCTGCCGTATGAGACCCTCCTCGGCCGCCACCGACTGAGGCTAGCTGTACGCGCATACGACATGAGAGTTATATATTAACCTGGCAGCGTTTCGTCTCAACTGTCCTCTCACAAGCAGCTTCTACAGCAAACACCAAGACTTCTCTTTCTCCCTTTTGCTTCTTATTCCATCCTGCCTGTGGCAGATCACATTCTTTACCATCACTGCGCGCTGCTGAAGAACTAGATTCGACAATCTACCGCTCTTCTTCATATCAATCCCGCTTCGCTCAGCACATTTCAGATACCCAGAAAACACTTTCATTCCTTCGCTCAGCTGGTCTAGCGATTTCCAATAGAGAATAGCCTTTTCTCACCTCATTCTTTCAAACACAAACATGTTCTCCAAAACCACCCTTCTCGTGGCGTTCGCCGCCAGCGCCTCCGCCCACATGAGGATGGCTCACCCAAAGCCTTATGGCTTCGACACCCTCAACAGCTCCCCCCTGGAGCCCGCCGACTTCCCTTGCAAGCAACGTCCTGGTGTGTACGACATCACTGAGATGAACCAGTGGAACGCCGGTGAGACTCAGGAGGTCTCTTTCCTGGGCTCTGCTGTCCATGGCGGCGGTTCGTGCCAGTTCTCCATCACTACTGACCAACAGCCATCTGAATCATCTCAATGGAAGGTCATTGAGAGCGTTGTTGGTGGATGTCCCTCGAATGTTACTGGCAATCTGCCCCAAAACCCAGACGGCACTTCGGCCGCTACTTTCCCTGTCAAGATGCCAGAAGACATTCCCGATGGTCAGTACACCTTTGCCTGGACCTGGATCAACAAGGTCGGCAACCGCGAGTTTTACATGAACTGCGCACCCATTCAGGTCGGAAATGGCGCTAGCAAGGCTTCCACTGCCAGTGCTTCTCAGGCCCTCGCATCTCTCCCAGACATGTTCGTCGCCAACCTACCCGCAACCGAGTGCAGCACTGCCGAGAATGAAGACTTTGTCTACCCCGAGCCAGGCAAGAACCTCGTCGAGGGCAATGGCGCTGCACTGGGCGACACCCTGACCGGTTCTGGATGTGCTAAGATGACCAAGATGGGTGCCGGTAACGGCAAGATTGGAACACCTACTCAGCCTGAGGCGTCTCAGTCCGCAGGAGAAGAGACCCCTGCTGCCAGTTCTCCATTGGCTTCCCTTCCTGCCAACAACGGTGGTATCTTTGCTCCTGGTGCTTCTCCAGCTCCTACGCCCAGCCCTACTCCCATTGTCTCCAAGCCTATCACCGCTCCCCAACAACCTGCCGATAGCACTCCTCAGCCCCCCGCCCAGAGCGCTCCTCAGCAACCCACCGAAAGCGCTCCTCAGCCGCCTGCCCTCAGCCCTGCCCCGGAGACTCCCGAGAACGGCACAAACACACCTTCCTCTGGCAATGGCGACTGCACCCCATGCGACAACGATGGTGCAGTCGTCTGCATCGGTTCCAGCCAGTTCGGTCTCTGCAACCACGGATGTGTGGTTGCTCAGCCCCTGGCCAACGGCATGTCTTGCACTGGCGGTGCCGTTGTTGCCTCGGCCAAGAAGCGATCTCTCCACTTCCCTCGCGCTCACCTCCACCGCCGTCACGGAGCCTCTCACCTCATCTAAGCGTCACAGCCCATGCAGCTGTAAGGCGCGCAAGACGTTCCTGCACACCCAATTCAGCCGTTGGCTACGAAACGCATCTTTTGGAGTTGGGAAATACGGATAGGGACATAGGGTATGGATTGGGAAGGGCTTTTGGGTCTTGGTGTTCATATCTCCAGTCACATGCGGCAGACACCACTTGGGTCTTGCTCGTGACATTTCTTCTTCTTCTTCTTGTGGTCTACTTTTGTTATGTTCTTTCTTTCATGCCCAGCTCTTGACCCGGCTGACATGCTTTGTTTTTCTTTTTTCTTATCGACGAAAGAGAAGTCTTGTGCTAAGTCTCGTGACTACGAGCGCTGCATTATACACTATCTGTTGTACAACACTCAATGATAACGCTCGTTTTTACTCAAACCCCATTGTCTTCATTTGCGATTGTGATGCTGATTGTACTGTGCCTGTTTCGTTGGTGTTTCGTCGGAAACTTAACAATTGTGAGTAAGAAGCAAGGGTGGATGCGAAGCGTTCCTTGTCAGGCCAGGCAGGATCCAATGCAACTGCCTGATGCGACAGACTTGTCTGGCTGGAGCGGAGTATCACGTTCCGCTATGCTGCCTTACTCGCGAGGCGTGCATTGCTGCATCTCCTATTCTTTGGTACTACACATCTGCTTGCTACAAGCAAAACCTCGAGCCTATTCACCGGATTATGACGTTAGTCGGCTGCTGATTGGCCCGCCCCTCAGTGAACAGACAGCACAACCTGACTTGCCCTCTGCATTCCCTCCCTCGGCCCTACCAAAGCCCCTCGCCACATCGCACACACGAGAGCACGCGACGAGACAAAGTGCGCCACCCTGAACAGATACGGCGGCTTGAGCCATTATCTCGTGTTGTCTGCCCAAGGTATTAGGAAGAGCGAGTCTCGGCCTTCGTTTCGCACGTTGCCGCCACTTGAGCTTAGGAGGTCATTGCGCTCGCCCCACTACTTCGTTACCCTCACCTCCACCGTCTCCTGGCGCTCACCCTCTACGGCGTACAGCACAGACCGCCCAACATGGAAAACCAGCAAGATGTCGACCAGACAAAGTACATCGACAATGCCATCCGCGCCGTGCGGGAGAAGAAGCCTCTCCCCGAGATTGACTTTACCCTCCATACTATGGAAGATGGCAGCCAAGTAAGCACTCAGGAACGTGTCTGCAAAGGTATGCCCGTTTCACAGCTTTTGCCTGGCTTGCCTGCCTGTTTCTGTTATTTCTACTACACGAAACAGCCTGAATAATGTGCTAACGGCGCTGTGCCTACCAGATGTGCAAGCACCCGCCTTCCACCCGCCCACCGACGAGCAATTCTTCTCACCGCAAGATCGCACCAAGCCCAATATCCAGTTCCTCAAGCAGCACTTTTACCGTGAAGGTCGCTTGACCGAACAGCAGGCGCTATGGATCATAAAGAAGGGCACAGAGATTCTAAAGTCGGAGCCCAACATGTTGGAAATGGACGCTCCCATCACTGTCTGTGGCGATGTCCACGGCCAGTACTACGATCTCATGAAGCTCTTCGAAGTCGGTGGCGACCCAGCGGAGACGCGCTACCTGTTCTTGGGTGACTACGTTGATCGTGGATACTTCAGTATAGAGGTGAGACAGCCACAGCTGCGAATCTTGCCACATGCAATTCGCTGACAACCGCAGTGTGTTCTGTACCTATGGTCCCTCAAGATTTGGTACCCCAACACCCTTTGGCTCCTCCGAGGAAACCACGAGTGCCGTCACTTGACCGATTACTTCACCTTTAAGCTCGAATGCAAGCACAAGTACTCCGAGGCCGTATACGAAGCATGCATGGATTCCTTCTGCGCATTGCCTCTGGCCGCAGTCATGAACAAGCAGTTTTTGTGCATACACGGTGGATTGAGCCCTGAACTTCACACCTTGGACGACCTGAAGACCGTATGTATTACTTTCAACGCCTCCCGCACTGTAGCTGACTGTCGTAGATTGACCGCTTCCGGGAGCCGCCAACGCATGGTCTCATGTGCGATATTTTGTGGGCTGACCCACTTGAGGAATTTGGCCAAGAGAAGACCAATGACTTCTTTGTTCATAACCACGTTCGTGGATGCTCATACTTCTTCTCGTACCCTGCTGCATGCGCTTTCCTCGAGAAGAACAACCTTTTGTCTATTATCCGTGCACACGAGGCCCAGGATGCTGGCTACCGAATGTACAGGAAGACACGGACGACTGGTTTCCCCAGTGTCATGACAATCTTCAGCGCGCCCAACTACCTGGATGTGTACAACAACAAGGCTGCTGTGCTCAAGTATGAGAACAATGTCATGAACATTCGGCAATTCAGTAAGTTCATGTCACTCGGTAGTTGGCTATAAGACTAACACCTTCAGACTGCACACCTCACCCGTACTGGTTGCCTAATTTCATGGATGTCTTCACATGGTCATTGCCATTCGTTGGAGAGAAGAGTATGTGGAACAGATCAGCTTTTTAAGCATTCTTACTAACTGTGTTTAGTCACTGATATGCTCATTGCTATCTTGAACACGTGCTCCAAGGAAGAACTTGAGGAAGAGACACCCAGCTCGTTGGCTTCTGGACCATCTTCGCCTCCTCTATCGAGTCTGGACCCAGATTCGACCGAATTCAAGCGTCGTGCCATCAAGAACAAGATTCTGGCCATTGGTCGTCTCTCCCGCGTATTCCAAGTGTTGCGCGAGGAGTCTGAGCGTGTTACAGAGTTGAAGACAGCTTCAGGAGGTCGACTCCCGGCTGGTACTCTGATGCTTGGTGCAGAAGGAATTAAGCAGGCAATCCACAGCTTCGAGGACGCGCGCAAGGTCGATCTGCAGAACGAAAGACTGCCACCAAGCCACGAGGAAGTACGGAAATCTCAGGAAGTCAGCCGAGAGCAAGCTCTTGAGAAGGCAACCAAGGAGGCAGAAAACGACCAGGGCCTGGCAACTGTGGCAAGGCGCATTAGCATGTAAGTATTGTTAGATGGTGATACAACATTGTATAGTGGCTAACATGTACAGGTCATCTGGATCCAGTCGCAACCGAAAGAGCTAGGCGCGATTTACGCGTTCGCGGTCGGAAAGCGAAGCCGAGAGACGAGTCATGACATGACATGCTGGTTTGGTTGTTGATTTCGGTATTGGCGGGCTACCAAATGTCATCAGTATACCATTCAGGCGCATATAACGTTAAAGGTATCACCCTCCGATGGGTGATAATAATTTGCTGGTCGACTGCTGCGGCTTTATTGAGCCGAATCCTCATTGAAACACAATCAATTCACGTGCCTAATGTATTAGTGGTTTTGTTGTCGTGAATGTAGTATGTGATGAGGCTGGATGAGATGATGGTGGCTAGCGCACGTGCGCGGGCCGAAGCTAGCTTTGCCGACCTACGTCAATTGCAGTATTGCAGAGCATGATAGTAATGCTCAACTTCAAGCCCGATGCCTCCATGGGTGGCCTCAGTGCCGCGACTGACCATCTTTCGCAAGACAGGGTCGATTGATCGGATTCCGCTTGCGCTCCGCTGTCGCAATGTCCCAAGGTCGCCATGTACGAGTCTCCGCGCCCGTTTCGCATCGACGCATGTCTCGCCGACTGCGATAAATCTGCGCCCCAATGTCCCGCCACGCAACCAGGAGCTATACGACGCCCTATCCGCTCTCAGTGGAGCTGCAGAGACACACGTCAACATTAGCAGATTACAGCTGGCGTTGCGGGGTCTAGCCGCCCAAGATGCAGTCACAAGAGTCGCTGGTACGGTGCACACGCAATTGAGTGCGGGCGGCGTAGGTGCTGACAGTGGCATACAGTCCTTGGTTTGAATAGCCAATTAAGCGCACAACAATTGGCACGGCTGTTGCTTGCCGACCCATTGACCGCCGAAGGGCAATGGGAAAAGGACCTGGCCAAGGCAGGCGTCGGCAATGAGAATGCTGTGTTGCTAAAGTGGGTGCACTCAGGTCGCTGTAACGAGGGCGCAACCACTAACATGTCTGCGCAGGTACGGCACCGACCCCGACGACGTTACGCCATCACCACTGTACAGAGTCCTCGCCGTTCCGTCGCGCATTCTCCAGTCGCATAATCTAGAGGTTCTTGTTTCGACGGTAAACGTCAATGTCAACAAATCCGTCCCTCATGTGTCAACAGAAAGCTCCACCGAGTCGCTGTTGGTTCCCAAACTCCAGGCCACTTCTGCCAGAGGATTGCCTGTCCCATATCCGGTGCACAAGACATTAGTATTAGGAGAGGGACTCGACAGTGCCATATCCTATGGGAGATTTTCAGCCGATGGTCTTGATGAGATGCAGGATATGGTGAAGTTGGCTATTGATCTGCCAGTACCATCGACCGAGTCAAGTACAGATCCTAATGCCGAAAGTGCCGCTATCAACATCGCAGTTGGTACCAAGGGACTCGACAGCTTCCGGGAGTCTATCAAAAACGCAAATGTCTACGAGCGAGCTTGGTTCCAGAGCGGACTGCCAACACTGTCTCAGTGGCTGGTTCAGGATCTCAAAACTTCTAATGGCATTAAGCCTCCACTGAGGACGCTCATAGCTTCTGTTGCAGATGATGTAGAAGCAAGTGTTGCAAAAGAAGACGCTGCTCACCTGCAGAAACTTGCAACTGTCCAAACTGACGAAGAGGTCACTGCATCAATTCTTGGCCATCTGGAGACCTGGGCTGAGAAGTCACACGCCGAGCTCCGCGACCAGCTTGACGAAGCCTTTGCAGCGAAGAACTGGCACAAGTTGGCCTGGTGGAAGCTGCTCTGGCGTGTCGACGATGTCACAATGATCAGCTCAGAGATTCTGGAACGACGATGGCTTGTTTCTGCCGAGAAAAACAGTGTCTATCTCGCTGGTCGCATGAATCAAGCCGGCTATCCAGACAAGATTCAACGTCCTATTGCATCCAGCATACCTGAGGCCACAACACAAGACACCGCGCCCACAGCAGAAAACCAACGACTGGACCTCTCGACCACCGTCCGCAAACCCATGCCTTGGCATGAGCAAATCTCCAACGCCCGTACCGACCTCATCAACGACACCGTTCCCCCCCTCCAAGCCCTCGCACAACGCCTCCTCCTCCAAACCTTCAGCACAACGTCCATCTCTTCAGCTGCATCCGCCCTCCTCTACCTCTCCATGTCCTCCTTCTCGGTCTTCGAAGCCTCGGCCGTCGCAGCCCTCGGCCTCACCTTTTCACTGCGCCGCATGCAGAAATTGTGGGAGGGCGCCCGCGAGAGCTGGCAAGCTACCGTCCGCGAAGAAGGCAGACGCACGCTCAAGAGTACGGAGGAAAGGGTAAGGTTTGTTATCGAGAATGCGGAGAAGAAGGTGGTGGTTGAGGAGGAGGATGTGAGGGAGAGGAGGTTGGCGCGGGAGGCTGTGAGGAGGGTGCGTGAGGTTTTGGGGAAGATGGAGGGGAAAGAAGAGGAGAAGGAGAAGGGACAGGGTGTATGATAGTGTAACATAGAATTCATATGCTTGACTGCTCGTATGATTTTGTCGATGTGTTTTTGCGTCGTGATATGTAATGTCGGGCTCAGACTTGATGAAATACTGGAGAAATGTATGTGTGGCGTGATGGAATAGCGAAATGTGTATGTATTGCTTACGCTAGATACTGTACATCCCGTACTACTGCACAGTAAGAGGAATGAGATTCAAGTAAATGCAGGAATATGAGTGAAATGTGGGCAATGGGTTTAAGAAGGGATTCTTAAAAAATGTAATTCTGGTTTGAAGATGGTATATTGAGTCTCGAGTTTGGAACAACAGTCAACGAAAAAGCTATACGCCGTGATTTATGTGCAGGGTGCAATCTTTTCAACACTATGTAATACATCATTACAATCCAGGCTCACTGCTCAAAGACGGCCTAAAGAAAGTTATGAAAAAATGAGTGGGATTGGCTAGAACAACTACGAAACAATTGCAAGATACTGTAATGACTGTCCCCCAAGATACGTAGCAATTTGTCCAGCTTACTGAATATCGATAACCTCCCTCAGCAACGGCACTTAAAACTCTTCTCCGAGCCTGGGCTTGCCGCCCTTCCAATCATCCCTCTCGTAGTAACGGAAGACAAGATCGTATCCATCCAAGTCATGGACGATACGATCAACACGACGGTAGCCGGGGATCACCTCCATTCTCTTGCCCTTGTCGGCGTTCTTCAAGGGAAGCTCATCAGCGGTGGGCTTGGCCTCGAAGAGAGTAACGCTGAACCTGCCAGGCTTGAAGATACCGACAACATGCTCAACAATGTCGGCAGTCTCGCGACCACTCTGGCGAGCAGGCACGTTGGTCTCAAAGGAAGCGTAAGAGCATTGGGGCTCAGGAGTGACGTGCACAGTAAAGTAGTGCGTAGCGTCAGAGCCCTTCTTGGAACCATTGGGAGCACCGCCAGGAGCAGGGACGACACCATTAGCAGAGAAGCCGCATGGCGTGAACAGATAAGCATCAATACGAGCATCGGGATACTTGGTGGTAGGGTAGACGTCGGCTAGACCGCAGTGTTCGGAAACGACCGTACCAAGTGTGTGACCTTCGGTGGTCAGCTCCTCAGGGAAAGTAAGCTCCTCGTCAGAGCTGAAGCCAGAGTGGTCAGAAGATGTCTGCTCGAAGACGTCGAAGCTGTCATCTGAGGTGTGGGTGTTGGCAGCTGAGTTGAGGACAGTAGAGCCACCCAGACTCTCGGTGTGGCCATTCTCTTCCGAAATGGTACCCAGGGATTGGATAGCGTTTTTGCGAGCCTCACGGACTCTCTGGAGGTAGCGACCTTCCGCAACCGCACTTGCGTCCTCTAGATAGAACTGACGGGCGTTCTTCTCGTCGAGGTCGGTCATCAGAACCTCCAGAGTCTCATCCTCCTCCTCATCGGTGGCCTGCTCGCGCAAGAGACGCTGAGGGTGGCTTACAAATTTGGTCTCGGTATCTGGCTCCGACCTCTCCTCACCTGGGCTGGGAGGAGGAGTGAGGCTGGTGTCGGGACCTGTGATGTAGAGATACCAGTGCTCGCCGTTCATCTTGCCAATCATGTAGGCGCTGCCGCCCTTGAAGCGGTCATCAAGGTAGCGGACTTCGTCGCGCCAGCTGCGGTGGGGGCCGCGCTGCTGGTCGGGGTAGAGGAAGTTCTTCCTACTGTAGAAAACGCGGTATGGTGTGGCAGCTGGAGCGACGCCCGATGCCTTGGGGGCGACATAGGGAAAGCCAGCATTGGCAGCGATTTCCAGCATGCGGGTCAAGCCCCAGAGCAGAGTAGTAGTGCCACAGGTCTTGAGTACGACCTTGTGGGGGAAGACAAACATGCTCGACTCAGATAGAAGATAGGCATCGACATGCTCAGATTCAATAACGGAGAGAACCTTGCAGTTGACCAGATCGAGCATGTCCTTCCATACTTCGGCTGACACCTTCTTCAAGCCGAGAGGGCCGGCCTGTCCAGGCAGCTCAGTAGCGGAGGGGCTGAACCATACTTCCAAGAGCTTCTCCGGACCTTCAAACGAGTTTGTAGAATCGAGGTCGATGGTAGCCTCCTTGTTGATGGTCAAGTGAGGGGTGCCAATGTGCGACGAAGGCGAGGCAGTGTAGTGCTGCGGGATCTCGGTAGCGACCATTTCGTTTACTGTATGACTGGCACAGGTTCTGGATTTATCTAGCTGGAAAGCGGTTTGCTGGTGTTGAATAGAGCAAACTGGGAGGGTAGGCTAGCTGTGAAGCTATGTGCAGCACAACCTCGCTCAGACAAGCAATGCGGTGCTCGCCTGAGAAGAATTGGCCCACGGGTCGTGAGGGTTAGGCGAGGCTGGCGTGTGCCAGCAGCAGTGGACGTGGAAGTGTAAGAGCGACCGTAGTCGATGTTAGGGAGGGCGCGCGTTGAGGGGGATAAACGAGGCCTTTCGCCGGGAAATGGTGGCAGCCGATGGGGTCCTCGATACCAGATTCCGATACCCTGGGGAAGTATCGGGTCCAGCAGACGAGGAGATCTGCTTCAAAGACTAAGAAAGAAGGATTGTGGGGGGGAAGCGGGTGTTGTAGTTGGTGTTATCGAGGCCTATGGGCAGGGGTCAGCGCCGTGTTCGCAGCGAATGTTGTGTTTACGCAGAACTGCTCGTGGAAGAGGCAGAACTCACTTCGCAGGCTTGGACAGAAAGCGTGCCAGGTCCTCGCGACGCATAGAATAGCCGAAGCAGGCGACGACAGACGGACTGCTGGCTACAAAGGCCTATGCAACAGCAGAAGCTGGAGAAAACAGCGCGTCTGCCAGCGTGACGACGGTGTTTTGATAGGGGCGTAGAGCACAGAGATTAAACAATGGGCGACCACAATGTTGGGCGCTGACGACCGACTGTGAGCAATCAGTCGCCAAACTCTTGCAATCAAAAGTGCGGGGAGGCGGATGCAGGCGCAGACGAGAGAGAGAAGCAATAAAGCGACGTGTGACTGGGTAGAGGAAGAGGGAGAAGCAGGAATATACGTACAGCGGACGATGTTATGAGGTGGGCAGAGGGAGTAAAATTCTACGTGGCAGCAGTTGTTGGGGCGACGTTGTGGAAGCTTTGGGCCTTCACGCGACAGGCATTTTTTGACGAGTGCGGTGTTTTTGCAGCGAGACGTCACCGCCCATTCCAAAGTGGCTGGAGCGTTCGCGCCAAACGGCCGCTTGGGGCCCGACGCTGCCTAAACTTAGCCAGGCGACGTCATCACGTCAGGTACATGCGAAGAGTTGTCTCTTTTCTTCTTTGGCATTTACCTTCTCGATTTATCCCTCATCAATTCATTTATCCATCCATCTACTAAAATTCACCCACCTCTCCCTCCCCCCATTACTATTGCCATCATCATAATCCTCTCATCTCATCCCGCACCAGATGTACTAGCCCAATGCCATGTCATACCATATCACATGCAATAATGCAAAAAACCTCACCCCCAGAACATAACCATGCCAGATCCCCATATCCCCATATCCCCATATCCCCTTGTCGACTACCCGACAAAACCGCCAACCGCCTCTGCTCTGCTCTGCTCTGCTCTGCTCCGCTCCGCCGCGGTATCATCGGTATCATCGGCTCCAGGATATGCCAGCCTCTTGTGCCGCAGTGCCACCGCCTTAAATGACCGGCATACTCCCGGCGACCAGGAACACGCATCCCTACACTTACATACGCCATGGTACCGCTATGCCTTTTGCAGCCCCTCACAGCCTCCACCTTAGTCTTTTCCCAGCTATAGCAAACATACTGCAGCCATCATATACCTATAGCCTCAATCCACACCTCTTACTACCTCACCTACCCCTTCTGGTACTTTGAATACGATCCGTCCTTTCTCCACCATGCTGCTGAAACACTCCCGCAAATCAATTACTAGCGTGTCGGGCGTCTCGAATCCTGGTAGCATCGCGGATCGTCCGCTGTGTCGCTTGACCCACGACATGTCCCAGAAACTAGTCCCCCACATCAGAGGCGCAGAGGAATTGCTATTGTGCGGAAGAAATGTCGATACTCCGAGTGGTGTCAGTATATGATTGGAATACCATGGAGCCATTGTGTCCATGTATGCACTGCGCAGCCAGCGAAGAGCCTAAGATTGTTTATCAGCTGTCATACAGAATTGGGGGCCGAATTGGATGAGGCTCACTTACCGCTTCAGGCCCCGGCAGCCACTGCAACATTGTAAAATTTAACACCTCTGTCGGACTCCATGTATATCTCTTGCCGTCGCTCTCCTCTTCTCTTGCAGTATAGTCTGGAGACTGTGGCATGAGCCCCGATGGTACTTGACCAACCTCAACCTGCTCCTCATCACTCTGCTGCATCTCCAGCTCAACCGGCGAAAGAAACGGGCTCCTCGGCCTGCCCGAAAATGGCCGCGGAGCAACATCTCGTGTATGGATGACATCCAAGAGTGCTGCAAGCAGACCAACGGGCGAGTCACATAGTGAAAACGCCAGTGTCTGCGGTCGAAGCGAGTAGAGACGATGTAGTGCCGGCCCCAACGGTCGACTACTATCAATCTCATTTTCGGTCCCCAAGTCCTCCCTCCGCTGTCCAGATCGTGGTTCGACATCGCTACCAACATATCCAAAACTCAACAACGGTACCTTTGCTTGCGTCAACTCCGCAATCCGCCACTTGACATACTGCAGCGGACTCCGTCTATACGTCGGCGCCTTGAACGCCGGATTGACTGTATGCACGGCGAGACAAGCTTTCGGGTACCGTATCGCTAGCACACGACAAATACTAAATCCCCTGCTGGATTGTCAACACTGAACTAGCACTCATACACGTAACAAACTCACCACCCTGTCCCATGCGCAACAAACTCGCTATACCCTAGTTTCCCCATCAATTCCGAAAACACTTCTGCTGTGCCCTCCAACCCAAAACCCTCCTGCATGCTTGCATCACTGAACCCGAAACCAGGTATACTCGGCGCTACAACGTGAAATGCCTGGGGTATCGCACCACCCATATCAGGTACGTACTGCGGTTCCGTCAGCGCATTGATGATGCGTTGGACCTCTATAAACGACGAGGGCCATGTGTGTGCTAGTAGCAGCGGGATAGCGCCCGGTCTCGTCGATCGCTTGTGTACAAAGTGCACGCGGAGAGATTGCGTTCCTGCCGCTGATGTGGTACGGATCGTTGTACGGAATTGGGGAAGAAGGGAATTGAAGCGGGATTCGGCGGCGCGCCAATCGTAGGCTTCTAGCCTGGAGATGGGTTAGTTTATTTGGAAAAAGTGATACTACTCGTTGAAGGGAACGAATGCATGGAGGGGGGGGGGGGAAGGAGAGTTGAATACAGTACCAAAAATCCAACAAAGGTTCAAGAACACGCTTCGGTGTACCATGCTCCCACATTCGCTCTTCGGGTAATTCCAGTTCCCGTGGCAAACGCGTCAATTCGAGTTTCTTCCTTGTGAGCTCGAGGTATTTGGACGATACCTAATCTTCATGTATCAGCAAGATGTGTGGAGTGAAAAAAAAATGGGGAGATACAGTACATGCATACTATACGTAGTTATAGCCTCATCGCCATGTGCTACAGACCCCATGGTGTATATTATTACCCCCAACAGGGTATTCGTTCAGTATCGAAATCCCCGAGAAAAAGAACAACACTCCACGTAACAATGTCAATATCAAATACAAACACCACTTAACAACTTAGAGCAATGTAGTAACAAAAATAATCACCAAAAAAAACACAAGAATGCACTACCAAGTCGGAGAGAAAAAAAAAGGGTCCATGAAAGTACAAGGTGTGCCTAGACCACCACCCTATCTATACCCCCCCGCTCCTTCCCCATACGCAAAGCAAGAGATCATCCCTCGTCACCACACGGCACAACACCGCACACACAGCTTGCGCGTCTCCGCATAACAAGCCTTCAAGCCACCAAACCGCCCATCGCCGCCGAGGCGGTCTAGAAACCCGGACGAGGAGACGGGGGATTAAAATCCACATCTACTACTTGCTACAACCGTCGGGGGGGGGCGTTGGTGTGGCAAACGGAATAGTAGTGTACTTTTTAAACTTACGGGGGGACTGTGTGGCTGTGCAAAAGGTACTAAGAGGGGTGATCGGCAAAAGCAACACCAGAATATGGATTGTAGGGCTTAAAAGTGTATAAAACAAGGCACACCAATCAGAGGGTCAAATAGTAACAGTTGGTCTTTATCCCGAAACCCAGTTGTAAGTGTAAAAAGAACACTAGTGGCAAAAAATGTCTCTATTCGCCGCCTCGTTCCCCGTCTGGTTCGAGGTGCAGAAAATAAAGGGTTTCGCAAGTAATATGCATGTACGCTTTAATTTTAAACGGATCATCTAACAGGTTACTTTGATAAAAACAAGGCGCGAGCGAAGGCTTATACGTCTCTCACGCTCGCAGCGCCGGGGTGACCGCTGCTCGAGGGTGAGCGTTGCGCGGCTTGAGCAGCCACGCCGCGCAGGTTGAGCGAGCCAATTCGCTGCACTAGATTACTGCCCACGGCATCTACAGCGCCTCGCGGTTGCAGGAGCGAAGGAGCTGTAGCAGCTGCTTCTTGCACCTTGAATAGCCGGATGCTAGTGTTGTTCCATACCCCAGCCGTGCCCTTTGCTACAAGCATCTCCGCTGCGAAGACGAAACCCCATAGTAGCGACTCGTACCAACCAAGCGACAGCGGGGACCATTCGAACAAGTGCACCCTAATCGGGGAAGGCTCAATGCCGCGCACTTCGGTCTCCCGAATGATCTTCAGAGCTTCTGCTGTATCATTGGAGTTTCCTGAAGCGGGCAGCTTGGGCCCAAGCTCCGATATCAGCATGAGGATAGTATGTAGCGGCAACTCCGAAAGCCATCCTTCCAACTAAAGACCACGTTAGCAAATGTGTATGGTTGAAATGAAATGACTTACCCATGGGACAGACGGAGTAAAGAACTCATTGGAAGCCATTGCCGGACCGGCTGCGCTGTGCAAGCTCGTCATGCTGTTTTGCCTAGAAAATGCTGGCTGGCCCACTGGTCGCTTGCCTCGTGCCTTTTCTGACATACCCCTTAGTTGCAAAGGTACTGAATCATCCACGGACGAGGCTATTGATGCACTTCTTGAAGCGCCCGAAGGTGATTGTGGAGGAGATCTGATTGGCCCGGATGTGCGCGACGCATCTGCTTCCTCGTCCGAATCATCGTCGTCACCAATTGCAAAAGCGCTGTCTTCTTCTGGCACATTGCCCAGGGTGGGTGTTCGCGCGACTGTCGGGCTTCTTAGACTGTCTAAAGAGTTCGTGCGTGTCATGTCCTCTCCGCCCTCCTTCCGCAGTTGGTTCTGGCGCTCGAGCTCCTCTTGGCCGCTTTCAAGTGTGAAGTCTCGGAGCGCTTGGAACCGCTTCCGTGAACGAACAATCGCGTAGACGAGATTTGGGTTGTCTGTCGATAGTTCAGTAACTGGCACATGGTGATTCTAGTGAACGTACTTACGCGGATATTGGTGCTCTATTATGGCATTCAAGACCTCCAAGAGCGAGTGCAGAAGTGTGTGGTTGTTTTCATTGGCAAGCAAGAAGCTAGGCGAAGACATGGATGCAAAGAGCTGCAATAGCTTTGAGCTAGTCGCCCGTCCAAGATTCTGAACGTAAGCGGCAATGTTGTTGAGTATTGCAAGTAGTGCAGGGTATATCGCATCAAGCTTGCCTTTGCTGGTGGTGAGAAGAGTGTAGATTGACTGGTGTGGTCAGCAGACGTATGGCGATTGTTGGTCGGGCTACATACTGTGATGACATAGTCGGCATATGTGCCATGGAAGTTTGGTATCCGGATGCTGGCTGGAAGCGACTCTTGGCCTTCAAATGTCTTATTGAGGCTCTTGCCAAACTGTGGCTCGACGCTTAGTGTCTGGAGCACGAAGATGCACATGCGCACAAGACCCTGCTTGGAGGGATCGTTGCGCTGATCAATGGCATAGTACAAAACCAAGACAACAAAGTCATGGGCTCTGTCGGTGTCGATGATGAAGGAGCGGAAGCGCTTGTTGCATTGCAGCGCCTCCCAGAAGAGCATGATCATCTCCGGTGCCCATGTCAGTGACTTGTGACTGCCGGGGAGATAGGACGTGTTTGCTTGGAGCTAGCAAGTATTAGCCAAAAGATATGTAGTAAATTGCGTGTTGCGTACCGGCTGGTTGAGGATTCTTGTCATGCCATCAACGAGAAACTGGAAATCTTGTGGACGGTGCAGACGACCAAGGAAGTGACGGAAGAAATTCTTGGGCGCTGGGCCATTTCCGGGCTCGGGGATGGGGTACAGGACGAGTACCAATAGTAGCTGCAAACAGTACGTGACCAAAATCTGCCGCTGGTCCTTGAAGACGACGTGGTCGTAGGGCACGCGCCATGTTGCGGGGTTGTACTTGAGCGTCTGTGGGGGATCAGCGGGTACACAAGCAAGCGACCAAGGATACGCACAGTATTGAGGAGCGAGCAGAGCACAGATAAGACGACTTGCTTGTCTGGACATGTGGCGATGTATGTGATTGCCTTGACGCCTTTTACTGGCAGTACACCTGCAATTGGTTAGAATCGACTTGATGTGCGCGCATGGTAGGATGCATACCCGCCGACATGTACATGGACTTGCTGGCCAGGGTGAGAAGCAGGCGCAAGATCTCAGTCCTGTTACTTTCAAACTCCTTTGTGGATGCGACGGGCGTATTGCAGCCGACGCCGCTCTGCCAGATGGCATAGCTGACCTTATTCTTGCCTGGGGCTACCTTTGGCAGGGTGAAGTTGGAGAAGAAGAGCAAGTCGATGAGGGTGTCGATGATCTCCTCGGCCAGCGGCTTGGCCTTTTCAAACTCGGGCTCCTTCTCTGTGGGCGTCTGTTCCGGGTCGGCCTCGTCGAAGATGACCTCGCTGCGCACAAGCTGGCCTCTACGACTGCGCTTGCGACGCTCAGCCCAAAAGAACTGGTCTTCCCACGTATCGAGGTGATCGGCTTCGTACAAAAAGGGCAACAGGCGGGTGAGGACACGGATGCAGTTGAGGGCATCGCGCTCCGGGGCGAGGTCAGGGTCTGGGAACGAGGGGTGGTTGCGCAAGACAATGAGGCGCGATGTGACTGCGAGCACCAGCGTCTCGAGGTTGGCTAGGTTGTTGTCGCGGGTGCGGCGAATGTCTGCGGGCGAGAAGAGGGAGAAGACATCTTCGGTCGATTCGGGCAGCTCCCAGAACTGGCGGTGATAGTCAGCAGAGGAGCAGGATATGAGTTCAGCAGACGGCATACACCGGTCCAGTAGACATCGTCGGCAGGGATCTGCTTGGGCTCAGACAGGCGGAAGATGCCCTGCTTGAAGGAGAGTTTGGAGTCGGATGCGCCCATTGGGAAGCATGCTACGTCTTCATGCGCTCATTCTGCGGGGGAGAGTGTCTATATGTGGGGGGTGTATGTATCTACGGGTGTGGGCGAGTGTTTATCTGTGTAGTATGTGTGTACTCTGGCCAGAAAGCAGCGCAGCCTCGCTGACAGGGACAAGGTGACGTCGGCCGCCCAGCTGCACACCCACCCGACCCAATCCACCCCCGGCCATTCACATGTTTTCGCGTCTCGGCGCGTCGTCTTCTTCTACACACACACATTGTAAATTTATACATTTTGTTTGTCTCGCTGACACCTGTCATGTGTATATTTACATGACTTGTACCAACGTCCTCACTAGTAAAGTCACTGGGTTCTGGGCTCTGCTGCAGGGACAGTGCCGCTTTACTAGCCTTACATAATCACTGCACTGCCCTATCCATGGTACATCATAGCCACGACTGCTGCCTGCGCATCCCATCCCTTCTTATTCCAGTCCCGTCCGCCCGTCCTTCTCTTCTTCCTTCCTCACCCTCGCCCGTTCCTACCCTCACCCCCGTGTCCTCGTCTCCAGCCGTCCATCTGTAAATTCTAACGCCCGGCGCGCGCCCTTGCCACCCGCACTCCGTTACATAACAGAGAACGCCGCCACCATGCCGCCAAAACGAAAGCTTGCGCAGACGGCTGCTGACGCTGAGGCCGAGGATGGCTGGGACGATAACGATGAGGGCCCCATGAGCGATCAAGAGACGTTCGATCAGCTCAAGGAAGAGTTCGATGTCAAAGCCATGACGAAGCGCGCGCGCGCTGGCCGTGTCCGCGACGCCGCAGCCGATCTCTTCAGAAAGTCGGATCAATGGAGTGCGCCCCTCAAGTCGGACCATTACAACCGTCCGCTATGGGTCAATGATGCAGGCGGAATCATCCTCGAGTCCTTCCATCCTCTCTTCGATGAAGCTCAGGACTTTTTGATCAACATCGCCGAGCCGCAGTCGCGTGTCTCCAAGATGCATGAATACCAGCTCACAACCCACAGTCTGTTCGCCGCCGTCAGTGTTGGTCACTCTAAGCAAGAGATCATCGAGAAGCTTGACCGCTACTCCAAGACTGCCCTGTCTGAAGCCATTATCCAGTTTGTTGAAAAGTCCACGTCCGCTTTCGGTAAGGCCAAGATTGTGTTGAAAAAGACGCTGTCCTACATAGAAAGCGAGGATCCTGCGATCCTCCAGAAACTCCTCCGCGACCCCGTCGTCGCAGAGTGCAGGGCTGATACAACCGATGGCCTCATCAAGGAAGCTGCACCCAAGATCGGCCAGATGGCGATCCCAGGTACCAAGCTAGCCGCTGGTGCAAACAACATGGCACAACAGCAACAGCCGGAAGCTGCTCAAAATCCTGCTCCCAGCGATATGATTGCTACATTGCGCGAGGACGACGACGATGACGAGGTCGCCCAAGTCCACTCGTTCCAGATTAAGAGTGAGGAGCGTGAAAAGGTCGTGAAACGTTGTCGGGCCATTGGTCTACCACTGACTGAAGAGTACGACTTCAACAATGACGATACCAATCCAAACTTGGAAATCGATCTCAAGCCGCACGCCCAGATTCGATACTATCAGGAGAAGGCTCTTAGTAAGATGTTTTCAAACTCTCGTGCCCGTTCAGGAATCATAGTGCTGCCATGCGGCGCAGGTAAGACCCTAGTCGGCATCACAGCTGCCTGTGGTGTGAAGAAATCCGTCATTGTCCTATGCACAAGTGCCATGTCCGTTGTTCAGTGGCGCGCCGAATTCATCAAGTGGTCAAACATCAATCCAGAAGATGTGGCCGTCTTCACGGCAGACAATAAGACCCGCTTTCCTCGTCAGGCTGGTATCATTATCAGTACCTACTCTATGATCAGTAATGCCAGGAAGCGTTCGCACGATGCGGAAAAGGTCATGCAGTTCATTCGTGGACAGGAATGGGGACTGCTGATAGCTGATGAAGTGCACGTGGTGCCTGCCAACATTTTCAAAAAGGTCACCTATGAGATTGCATCACACGCAAAACTTGGCTTGACCGCCACTCTCCTTCGAGAAGATGACAAGATTGATGATCTCAACTTTCTCATTGGCCCCAAGCTCTACGAGGCCAACTGGCAAGAGTTGTCAGAACAAGGACATATTGCCAAGGTGCAGTGTGCAGAAGTTTGGTGCCAAATGACGCCTGAATTCTATACTGAATGGCTCAAGCCTTCGTCGCTGCAGAAGCGTGCTTTACTATCAATCATGAACCCAAAGAAATTTCAAGCCTGCCAGTTCCTCATCAATTACCACGAATCACGAGGCGACAAGATTATCGTCTTTTCGGACAATGTGTACGCTCTGGAGAAATACTCGCGTAAGCTTGGAAAAGCATACATTTACGGCGCAACCCCACAACAAGAACGTCTTCGTATCTTGGAGAACTTTCAACACAACGAGCTCGTCAACACCATTTTCCTTTCAAAGATTGGCGACACCAGCTTAGATCTTCCAGAAGCGACATGTCTGATTCAAATTTCATCGCATTACGGCTCACGTCGTCAAGAGGCGCAGCGACTGGGCAGAATTCTGCGAGCCAAGAGGAGGAATGACGAGGGCTTCAATGCCTTCTTCTACTCTCTCGTATCCAAGGACACGGACGAAATGTACTACTCATCCAAGCGGCAAGCTTTCCTTGTTGATCAAGGATACGCCTTCAAAGTCATCACCCGTCTCGAAGGACTTGAAAACTTTTCGCAGCTGGCATTCGCGACACCGCAAGAGCGGCGAGAGCTACTCATGGATGTCCTGCTTGCCCGGGAAGAGGACGCCAAGGAAGAAAGAATCGAAGGCGATGCGTTTGGCACAAAGTACGCTTCGAACAAGGGCAACAAGAAGAAGTTTGGAGTCCGGAGAGCGGCTGGTACACTTTCTGAATTGTCTGGCGGACAGACTATGGCGTACATGGAGGTCAACAAGAGCAGGAATAAGGAGCTCAAGGGAACAAAGGGTGTCCAGAATGCTTTTATGAGGAAGCTTGCGAGGTCAGGGGCCAAGAAATAAGGCTTTTGCTCTTTCATCTTATGTTCATCGAATTTGTTTGTTGTGTGGCTTTATGTTTAGGAGCAAACAATAGACAAGTAAAGTCGGGTGGCTTTACCAACAGAATATCAAATCATTTCAACCCCAATGGCGTTGACAATCTTTGAGCTGTGTTACCTACATCTGGTGGAGAGCAACAACTTGTGACGTGGACGGGTCTACATCAAGCAAAGGTCCTTTCTTGTTGCAACAGAGAACCCCATCTTCTTCTTAAACAGATTATCGTGTATCGAAATCGATTGCAAGTTTGTCAACGTTATTCTGCTACCAATGCTCATAGTAATAATTCTTACGGGTGACTTCAGCAGCTCGTTTCTCACCCCGTACTCACACTACCTTGGCATAACACTGCTAGGAGCCTCGAATCCTTCCGCCTCGATAATCCCGAATATGCCAGCTTCAGTCGCTGGTGACTACACAGTGCTCTCTACATCACAGTGAGTTCCTCCAACGTGTGCGGCTGTGTTTCAGCCGGCCAGGGGGGCGCATGTAGTTAGCAAGAGCTATACGAATCCGACTTTGTATCATAAACATTGGCAAATTCTTCTTCTTCTTCTGTATAGATCGATTGACAAATTTTTTTCTTTTCTTCCAGTTTGGCGTTGGAGGCTGCGGAACGAACAAACTCAAACTCCAAAGCCTGTAATCCATCTGAACCTCGAGCAAACTCATCAACGATCCGTCTCAATTCACTTCATCTCATATATTTTTTATGCAAATCTGCAAAGCATGTGCACAAAGAAACAGGTCTGAGTTGTATTTTCAAAACGCCAATTATCGAGTTCTTATAACTCTTGTAGTATTACATACTAAATACGAAAAAAAAACAATGGCTCTTTTACGAGACTTCAAAGCCTTCAATGTCGCCCTTGGCATGATAATCACGGATTATACGCTCATATGCGGCGGTGCCACCGCCATAGAGCACCTTTCGCATAGCCAGACGGCGCCTTTCGGGGGAGCTAGCAGCATTGCGTGTTGTGGCACCCTCATGATTAAAGTAGCCTGGGGTGCAAGGGAGCACGACTGAGTACCATAGGGCACGCTTCTCAACCTCATCTGTCCAAGAGTCCTCGGCTTGTTTGCTGGGCTGAATAACAAGCTTTGTTGGGTCAGACACACGACTAGTAGCTGTTTTTAGGATATTAGCAATATGTGTAGCCTCGAGATCAAAGACAACGGTAAGGTTAGGTGAGCCAGGACCACCGCCAAGGCCAGCCCAGATTAGGTTAGGGAACCCATTTGTAGCGATACCGTGGAGGGTGCCAAAGTCAGGCGAGTTGTACTTATCCTTTAGGCGGCGACCGTTGCGGCCAACGACGGGGATGCCAAAGAACTCAGCAGGGGCAGTATTGTCGCCAGTAGCTAGTAGGAAGCCTGTAGCGAGGATAAGCACGTCGAGTTCATACTCGACGCCGTCAACAACGAGACCGCGCTCGGTGCAGCGCTCGACACCGTGGCCGTCGGTATCGACGAGCGTAACGTTGGGCTTGTTGAAGGTGGGCAGGTAGTCGTCCTGGAAGGTAGGGCGCTTGCACCACATGGGGTACCACGGCTGCAGGCGCTCGGCGGCAGCCTTGTTTTGGCTAACTGTGTCGCGGATGGCTGCGCGAGCCTGGTGAGTTAGCGGGTCGTCGATTTCCTTGAGCTTTTGCAAGTGCTCCCCGACCTTGTCAGGGGAGACGATGCGCGTGCCGCCAATGAAACCGGCAAAACCGCGAGCCGTCTTGGTCCAGCCATCGGCGACGAGATCGGGGTAGTCGGGCGGGGGGTCTTCGCCGGCGAAGAAGGCGTCGAAGTTGAGGCTGCGAGCCCGCTGCCAGCCGGGACCAGTCGCAACCTCACGTGACCATTTGTCCATATCAGTCGGTTCCTGGTGACGGGGGCCGCAGTACGAGGGCGTTCGCTGGAAGACAA